ACCCCGAGACTAATGAAGAAACAAACCCCGAATTCGAGAGGGAAGGATTATCTGACCTAGTCTCTTCAGGACAAGTAATTGCTGTTTACACAGATGACCCGGATAATGATTACTACATAATAAAAGATATGGATTGTCCTCACGTTCTTGGTGTTGACACAACAGATTCGTGGGGCTCCATATTGCCAACTGGGAAAAATGTTATCAGTGGATTGTATTATGACAATAAGACATCATCTCCACTATCTTATAAACTTGTATCGAAAAAAAAGGCTATAGTTCCAACAGAATCGATAGTTTATATATATATGTTCCGAAATTGACGCCACAAGAAATATTCAATTACATGAGGACATTCATATCAGCATTCTACAGTGTATAAATGATTAAAATAGTCACATATATAGGTGTTATTTTATATTTCAGTTTTTCATATTATAGTGTTAGCGTTGCTCGTATATTATAAATCAAAGTAACGTCGTCCGCTTCACGCAATATTGACGTTTCTGTAACGTCAAATGATACCAGCATTGTGCGTAACGTCTTGTCTTTTCTTTTTGAACTAAATGTAACGTGTCTCGGTGTTCTTTCAAAAGAATTCTGTGGTGAGTTACACGCTTCAAACGTATAAAAAGTGTTATTTTCAATTTTTTGAGCATTGGAATATTGTTGATACAATACTATTCAGCAAAATTTTGGGTCACTACGAACTACATTTCAGGCTTGAATCTCGAATAATGTTGACTATCTATTCAGCAGCATTTTGATCATCATGACCTAGATTTCACAATTAAGTAATTTCGAGGAAGTGTTTGGTTTAAAGAAGAACCTTTTGTAGTATACAAGTAAACTTGTCAATAAAATTGAGAATGAAAACGGGGAATGCGTCAAAGAGACAACAACTCGGCCAAAGAGCAGAGAACAGCCCAAGGCCAACAATGGGTCTTCAACACAGCGGGAAAATCCCACACCCGGAGGAGGGTTTCAGCTGGCCCCTAAACAATAATGTATACTAGTTCAGCGAAAATGGACGTCACACTAAACTCCGAAACTTATCAATGAACCAAAATAAAAAAAACATACAAGAGTAACAAAGGCCAGAGGTTCCTGACTTGGGACGACGTAAAAATGCTTTGTGAGATCTCAACCCTCTCCCTATACCTTCAGCCAATGTGGAATAAACAGACACACAGCAATACGCACAGTAAAATTCGGTTTAAAAGAAGTCCGAGTCCGATGTTAGAATAGGTAACAGAAGAAACTAAGCAAAATGACAATAATCAACATAAATTAACAAAGGACTACTAGCAGTAACTGACATGCCAGCTCCAGACCTCAATTAAACTGATTGGAAGATTATGTCTTCAATATATGAAAATCAAGCACAATTCCTCCCTTTAGAGATACCATCATAAAATATACGAGAAGAACATAACCCGTATCATGCCAACAACTGGTTTTAGAATAAATGTGTTTATTTCCGATGCAAAGACCCTACGAGTGAATCAATATTAATTCCAAAAAATGCCATCTTTAATTACCTGACAACAGTATCGTAACAATATCACTTCTAAATAAGTCTGTTTAAAGGTTTGGTTAGCTTTTGAGGTGAATGACGACATTTTCGTGCTTTGTATAGAATATTACTATAAAATATGGGATGTGAAATACCTGAACGTATAACATGTCTGCACGTTGATTTATATTTACGAATGATATCCTTGTATCGATGATAAATTTTAGTAAATATTTTGACAAGTTTGTGATATCGAAAACCCTGGTGTAATAATTTTTCAGTAATACAAAGATTTCTTTCGTTAAAAATCAAATACGTTGTTACATACACAAGCGAACCGAACAAGTTGAGATATATAAACACCATAGGATGGTGCCAAGGGAACGTCACCATCTAAAAATGGATTATTAACAATAGACAGTCACACTACATCTTCTAGTATTATATAACGCTGCATGTTTGGTACGTTTGTATTACTATATGACCTACATTTCACACTTGAGGGACTTTAGATAAATTTCTCAGAAAGTTATAATTTAATATCCAATTTCCAGCAATGTGTTCATTAGTACAACACCACATTTCACGATGGACTGACCTATGTCAAGCGTTGCAATAACCCTTTTGTAGGATTTAAATGATAGTTCATTACAATTTCCATCTACTAGTATATTGTACAATATTTAGTATATCCCTGTTCAAAATCAGTATGGTAACTGTTACATACATTTCAAATGATATTCATCCCTTTGATTGGTACAAAGCTGTTCAGCAATATAGAACAAGAACATATTTTATAACCAATCAAGGGCCCACAAGGTGCATATAGAGCATACAGGTGCGGGGTTTTCTCGCTGTGTTGAAGACCCATTGGTGGCCTTGGGCTGTTTTCTGCTCTTTGGTCGGGTTGTTGTCTCTTTGACACATTCCCCATTTCCATTCTCCATTTTATGTCCTGCGTTTCACTTTGTAGAGAATCGGGTTAAGTTTTTTATGTCACGAGTCAATAATACGTAAACAGAATAACGGAATCCAATTACCCAAAATATTTGACAGTACAATATAGAAGAGAAGAATATTTTATTCCCCGAAGGGCATAAACATTTGACCTGACAATAACTTTATAATTCGAGAATAACACAAAAATAACATATATAACATCAACAAACAATACCCAACTCTCGAAAAACATAAACTAAAGCAAACAAAGACAAACAACAATGAACAACACATGGTCCAGATGACTTGGTATCTGCAAAAAAAATTAAAATATGAGTGTCAGAAGACTACTCAGTGAAATCTGACACTACTATATGTGTTAGAGTCTCCCTTATATCTAACTAATTTTCGGACGAACCTATATACAGCCTTCGAAGACTAAGAAAAATAAATTTTTTTACGGATTAACATTTTATTGGAAATATTCTTGGTATTAAAGACACCACTGAGCAGTTTTGTCAGAGGTTAAAGACTTTTAAATTTGTCTGTCCACAATTTAAGCAACAATCATCTATACTAGGTCCCTCATTAAGAGGGTCGTAATGGGGGTACCTTCTTGACGAAGAACGCCGAATGACGTTAACGGTAATTTTTGGTTCTTAACGATAAAATGTACATTTCTTTATGACGATAAGAAAAATGGACTGATTTTGACGATTCTTTCCAAAAATTACGGTAACGGACAATTATTTGAGATATTTTGACGAATCATGATAAAGTTTTGACCAATTTGACGCTAACGGCAGTCTTCACGCTGAACCACAGGCCCAGCAGCCCAGGCTTGTAAAATTGCTCTCGGGCCTGTAAAAATCATATTTACAGGCCAACAGAATCTAACTAAAATTTTCCAAAAATTGAGCTCCGAGCCCGTAGATTTTAAAGCTCATCGTGAAGTCTGTAACTTACTTACTTAATTACTGCCCATTACGCCCATTGGCATGTGGGACAGCAACGAAGTTTCTCCACATCGTTGCTGTTTCTGTAACATGATTTTTTTTACTTGTTAGGGTCGTTAACCCTAAGCAAAACCTTCTACGTGAAGGGTCGGGTTATTCTGTAGGGCTTTTCCATCCCTTAGACGACTGCATGAGCTTACGAGTTCCATCTACCCGGATTTTCTTTCTGGGTTTACTTCCATAGCCTTTGACTTTCCAAAGTCACCCACAAGGCAGTGGGGCTATTATCCCATAGCTGGGGCGATGAGAGCCAGGGCGTATCCACTCGCCGGGAAGTCTGTAACGGTAGCGGCAAAAAAAAAATGACCGTTTGACACCTGACGGTAAAGTTACTAAAAGACTGTTATAAGAACTACTGAGATACGTGCACCGAAGGAGGGGACTTAAACTAAGTTTTATGCATTACCATTTTTTTTGTAGAAGGTAGTTCACGTTCCATTAGAAAAGATATTCTTAACTTGACTGTCAAAAAGGTTTGAAAGACCTGTGACAATTGCACTATAGTAAACAGTTTGATTGGTTCTTATTTAAAATAGAATTTAATACAAATGCCAGAACTTGGTTGGTAAGTTAAATGATAGGAAAATAGGGAGCTTTCTATAAACCCAATTGTTGTTTTAAGATGTTTTGATTATATACAGGAGATTTAAAAAAGAAAAATGTATCACAAAATTTAAGAAATGTCTGAATTAAGTTCGAACAAGGACAAATCCTTGGTTCGAATCAAATGATCTTTGGTAAAAACATGGAAGTATTAGAGTGGGTGGCGCATATTCGCCTTGGACACATTTTCGCCGTTTTGCTATTTCTTCTGTAAAATTTGTGTGCCTTTACCCAATACTTGCCTAAATAGATGGTAAAGGCTGTTTATAATGTTACAACTATTGATATTCCTCTTTATCCCATTTCCAAGGTTATTCGCACATACTGAGAAATACGCAGGTGTTTTTAAATGATTTTGGAAATTATGCAAGATTTTTATGACAATCATGCGCAGTCTTAAAGTAAATATTTGTGAGAAAAATGGTATAGGAATGATCTCTCAAGCTTATTCATGTAATTGCAAACATTCGTTTTTATAATATACTAGGATAATGAGGATGGTCATATCATACTTTGAGGCGAAAATATGTCTCCCATGGTACACGAACAACTTGATTTCCTCTTGAGTTTGCGTTCGTTTTTACAGAGACATATGTATTATATGTCTCTGGTTTTTAGAACAATTAACCAATGTTTTGAAGATAATTTCTTTATCAAACATTTTTTTCATATAGTTAAATATCTGAAACCTTCATAAAAAGTTCCAAATATTCGAATGTAGGTCGGATGTAAGTGGAAATGAACGAATTATGCGGCGAATATGGGTCTCTCACTCTATATATGTTAATACAGGAACGTATATATTAACGTTAGATATACTGTTCCCAGGTTAATATAATACTTCCATGGTAAAAGGGAAATAACTTCAATAATATTTCTGGTTTTGGTTAAAATCATGTGATATCGATTTGTCACATGACAATAGGATGGCGGCTTGCTTGAAACTTTTTATAACTTTATATTCTTGCATCTGTTTTATAATTGCTGGCGTTGTAGATGGAAAACCAAATTTTGTCATATTGCTTATGGATGATGTAAGTTAAAGATGTGTAATCTACGACATATGTATTCTTTTTTTCTGCTGAAAAGATAATAGACAGATCAATGCAAGGCATCCTGATCAATAAATCTGGGACCAACATAGTATCACAATATGATATACGATAAAAAAAAATTAAAAAAATTACCAAAAACACGGACTCATGTGTGCAAATAAATCACCTTTAAGTTCACCATACTACATTATTCCTATACCGAACATATGACCTCAAGTGAGTAATCAAAGGGGTGGGGGCAATATTTTGTTTTTCTATTTGTTTTTTTGGTTTACTTATTTTTCTGTTTGATATTACATATTTGTGATTTGCTTTTTAACTATTAATGTGCTGCCAGAGGTCATTTTGGATAAGCCAAAAATCCTATACCAAATTAAATTGTTAAAGTTTAATGTCTTAACAAACTTACTTACAACTAATATTTCTTTAAATATTGCTTTAAATCCTATGAAATCAGATCACAGTGTAAAAAATAATTATTCAACCACCTTTTGCTGCAAATTTTAAAATTGGCTAAAAAATGAATTCCTTCATGAAATAAATTTTAATCTTTAACATGTTTAACTGTACTGCTTAATTTTATTGCAGATGGGATGGGGTGATCTTGGAGTGTTTGGAGAACCCAACAAGGAAACACCATTTCTTGACAAAATGGCTGCAGAAGGAATGATCTTTCCTGACTTTTATTCAGCTAATCCTTTGTGTTCACCTTGTAAGTGTTGTTAAAAGAAGGTGCTGTTGTAGCCTATGATTATGCTAACTAGTATACACTATGCTAAAGCTATATGACATGTGATTTTAAGTATTCAATCCATTAATGTTTGGAATCATTTGAATAATAATTTTAAAAACTATTTATTATAAGTATTCCACCTCCTGAAGTTAAGATTAAGTTAAGATAAAAGTGAAAAAAAAAACAATTCAAAATTATTTTATGTCAGATCTCCCTTAAATTAAATTTCATTGGTGATAGACCTCTTCTTTTGACGTTTTGAAAATTGACAGCTTCTAGTATGGAACAAGAGTGAATGATATTACCTATTTCCTTGTTTTTAGCCAGAGCAGCATTACTCTCAGGACGATTACCCATAAGGAATGGCTTCTTCACAACTAATGCACATGCAAGAAATGGTAAGGTTATTCTAAAACAGACTTTAAACTGCAAGCTATTTATTTAAACACACGCAAGAACACCTTTATCGTTTTTAAAGACCCCATAAATTCAAAAGTATCATTTATCAACACCTTAAGAAGCACAATCATCCTATTAAATATTTAAAAGTTCATCCTTTAGAAGTACTAGTGAATAAGAAGCCTGGGGAATCTCATTCAAAGTTTGTACGATCACGGAAAATAATTGAATTAAATTGGATTGAACAATTACAGACAGTCTATCCTCTCGGTCTTAATGATAATAGGATAATGATAATATAATGGGAATTGGTAACATATCAAGAACCGATTCTGTAAATATTTTGGATATAGTTTCTAAAACTGCTGTAAAAACCGTTCTCATGGGCGAAGAATAAATCGCAATCAGAGAAAATTTCGTACCAACAATACATATATTTCGGACCTAATTACTATTTCAAAAAACAACGGCAGACATTATCTGTTAAACAAGCTGTTCTTTATCTGTTAATAAATTACATCAAATTTTGGAGGATTGCAACACAATTCCATATTGCAGTCCTAAGTATGAAATTGTCCAAATTATGATTGCATATTGTTATTCTAAACTGTTTCCCAAAATTGATCGCCTTGAAGATCATAAAAAACATTTTATTAAAATCAAATATGTCAATAAAGGTTTTGATTTTGTAAATATTGCCAGTATTTTTAATGATCATTCTGTTAAAGGACAATTTCCTGGCTATTTTGATAATACTAAACTCCCTCTTATTTGTTATGTTTACCCGGAAATATGTGTTTAATTATAGTGAAGTGTGTAAAGATGTTAATATTGGTGACAATACACCTACGTCATGAAATTGCAGTAATTCCGAATACATTTATGGCCCCAGTTCCCATGTTATAACAGGAGACCTTAACATCGTTCATGACAGAGAGTTGAAATCCCGAATTCACCAACATTCCAACTGACTCCATTTTCGGAAAATGACATCTGTAACAAACATAAACTTTTAGCTACCTATTTACAAGCAGAACCAAATACAATGAAAGTTCCAACTATGCACTGGCTTCCGAAGCTGCACAAAACACCTTACAAATATAGATTTATTTCGTCTTCAAGCCATTGTTCCACTACTAAACTGTCTATTCTACTTACTAGTACACTTGGTACAATCAAAAACCTGGTAATAAATTGTTCAAATAAGGCCTTTGAAAATAGTGGAATTAATTACTTTTGGAGTGTCAAAAATTCATTGGAAGTACTTGATAAATTGCATGCTTATATTGGTGATTTCGAATCTGTTCAAAGTTTTGATTTTTCTACCCTATATACCACTTTGCCTCATAATCTTATAAAGAAAAAATTCACACACCTAATTAAATGGGCATTCAAAAAGTCAGAATGCGAATATATATGTTCTAACTCTTTTAGGTCATTTTTTAGTAACAACAGACAAAAGAACTATGTCAATTGGACCTGTTTTGATAAGATAACTGCTCTTGAATTTTTACTAGATAACATTTTTATTCACTATGTGGATTCCGTATATCGTTAAGTTATCGGAATTCCAATGTTGACTAACTGTGCACCACTTACAGTGGACCTGTTTCGGTATTGTTATGAGTTACAATTTATGACTAAAATCAGCAAAGACCCATCGAAACAAGATCTGATACAAAAATTTAATAACACTTTTAGATATTTGGATGGTATACCATAAATTGGAAAATTTCGGCGTCGGGATATTTTGGTGGTTTTCTCTCAAAAGGCATGTGTTTTATTTTGGTGTGTGTAATTTTGGTGCTTCGTCCAATTGATGTGTTAAATTTTGGAACAAATTATTCCGTATCTCGGGGTTCAAAGCTGAAAGAAAATATGAAAATAAAATCTAAAACATTACAATCACTTTTTAAATAGATTATTTATTTTTTTACAAATTTTAATCATTATCTCTATTGCAGTACATGTTAATCTACTGACGATTAAGGATCTAAATTTTAATCCTTATGCCTCCGGCAGTACATGTTCATGTTAATCATTTGAAGATAAAGGATTACAAGGAGTTTTGATATTATAATTACCAATAATGGCGTCTAATCAGCAATAGCCTGGCACATTTATGACATGTGTGAATAAAAATTCATATTGTGTTTTCTTAACAATTTCAGAAAATTGACAATTAAGTAGAAAAAATATATTGTTGTTGTCAAATTAAACCCAGTATTTATTTGCAGATTTGACTATGTATAGAATTGTAGGAAATATACGGACGATATAATAGCATGAAATATATTTCCCAATAATAAGCATTACGATATTATCATACAGATACACGATTTCGGTATTTCAATTTTTAGTGTTAGCTTTATTTTCGTGTGTTTAATTTTGGCACTTTCACTTGAGGCACCAATTAAACCAAAATAAAACTACAACCAAAATAACCCAATTTACGGTATTTGCTCTCAATGAGATTTATCCTGCTGAACTGACTTTAAATATAACTAATACTAACAACGAACACTGCCCTATCCTGGATCTTGATATCTTTATCTTTAATGGGAAGCTTAATACCAAAATTTATGATAAAAGAGATGATTTTTTCATTTCCTATTGTTAATTATCCATTTTTAGATGGTGACGTTCTGTTGTCACCATCTTATGGTGTTTATATATCTCAACTTGTTTGATTCGCTCGTGTTTGTAATAACGTATTTTATTTTAACGAAAGAAACCTCTGTATTACTGAAAAATTATTACACCAGGGTTTTCGATATCACAAACTAGTCAAAACATTTACTAAATTTTATCATCGGTACAAGGACATCATTTGTAAATATAAATCAGCATGCAGACATCTTATACGTTCAGGTATTTCACATCCAATCTTTTATGGTAATATTCTATACAAAGCACAAAAATGTCGACATTCACCTCAAAAGCTAACCAAACCATTAAACAGACTTATTCAGAATGGATATAGTTATGATACTGTTGTCAGGTCATTAAAGATGGCATATTTTGGTATTGATACTGATTCACTCATAGGGTCTTTGCATCGGAAATAAACACATTTATTCTAAAACCAATTTTTTGGCATGATACAGGTTATGTTCTTCTCGCATATTTTATGATGATATGATACTAAACCCCTAACGGGAGGGATTGTGCTTGATTTTCGTATGATGAAGACATAATCTTTCAATCAGTTTAATTGAGGTCTGGAGCTAGCATGTCAGTAACTGCTAGTAGTCCTTTGTTAATTTATGTATCATTGTCATTTTGCTTAGTTTCTATTGTTACCTATTCTGACATTGGACTCCGACTTCTTTTAAACTGATTTTTACTGTGCGCATTGCTGTGTGTTTATTTATTCTACATTGGCTAGAGGTATAGGGGAGGGTTGAGATCTCACAAAACATGTTTATCCCGTCGCATTTTTGCTCCTGTCTTAAGTCAGGAGCCTCTGGCCTTTGTTAGTCTTGTAATTTCAGTTCATTTATATGTTTTGGAGTTTAGTGTGACGTCCATTTTCATTGAAGCAGTACACTTTTTTTTAGGGGCCAGCTGAAGCCCGCCTCCTGGTGCGGGATTTTCCCTCTGTGTTTTCCCCATGGTGGCCTTGGACTGTTTTCTGCTTTTTGGCCGGGTTGTTGTCTCTTTGACACATTCCCCATTTCCATTCTCAATTTTATTAAACAGCTTTCAGTAACTGTGAGTACTTTCAGATCTTTACTTAGTGTCTTTTTTGTTTTGGGGATGTATGAATACCATGCCACGTCCGGTCTGTGTTTTTGTTGGATTTTTTTCTGCTTTGTACTGTTTTTACCACTGTCCCAGGTTAAGGGGAGGGTTTGTTGCTCAAGTAAAGTCCAAGGTTACAGGGAGGGTTTGGTGCTCAAGTAAAGTCCAAGGTTACAGGGAGGGTTTGGTGCTCAAGTAACTGAATTGAAAGCTTAACACAATCAACATCAATATAATAATAAGGAGATGAGGTATGATTGCCAATGAGAAAACTATCCACCAAAGTTCAAATGAAGAGGAGGTAAGCAATTATAGGCAACTGAACAGCTTTCAACAATGAGAAAATCCCATACCATAAAGTCGGCTATAAAAGGTCCCAACATGAAAAATGTGAAACAATTCAATTGAGAAAATTAACGGCCTAACACTATTTATAGTCTGTTTTACAGCATCTTTTTAAAAGATATAAAAAAATCATACAGCAATTTACTCTTTTGTTTGAGGAAAAATGTTTCGAAGTTATAATCACAAGTTAAGTAGACTTTAAAGAAAATAAATTAATGTTATGTTTTGGTTTCAGCCTATACGCCACAGATTATAACAGGTGGGATACCAGATTCTGAGATTTTATTGCCAGAAGTTCTCAAGAAGCTGGGATATAGAAACAAAATCATTGGAAAATGGTATGGAAAGCTAAATACTCACTTTCTTAATATAGTACCAATGCACTTAACATTAGAAGATACAATAGATCTAGGGGTTGAAATGTGTATTATTCTATTGTTAAGGATATATTTAATATAAAAGTTGCCATGCACTCTACCAATGCTGTTGTCAATTTGTCACTCATGAGACATCTTCAGTTAAAGCCCCAATAATTTCCGCCTTGTCCCATACACTTAGAAACAAAAGACATCTACAGGTTAACATTCAGTCTTCAATAATAGACCAGTGTCTATTCAATATGGTAGACTCTAAATTGATAATCATTCAGATAACAGTCTTAACTATAAAACTAACTATACAGTTGTATTTGATCAATGGCCATAATTATAACTTTAATTACTCATTTTTAGTAAGTACAATATTCCAAGTCAGTTTCATAGGATAAAAGTTTTCATGGTTTGGTCTGATTCTCAGATACTATAAGCCATAGGTGCTGTGGTGTATGGAAGCATTTTAAGCTGTACATAACTGTTTTCCAGGTTTCATCTGTCCTTGACCTCATTTTTATGGTTCATTGGTTAATGTGAAATTTTCCTGGTTTAGTCCATTTCTCAGATATTATAAGTAATAGATCAACTATATGTGGTGAATGGAATGATTGTAATGTGTACATATCTTTCTGACAGGTTTCATCTGACTTTGACCTAATTTACAGGGCTCATTGGTTCATGTTAAGAGTGCATGGTAAAGTTTTTTTTTCTCAGATACAATATGCAATATAGGTCAACTATATTGCTGTTAGGAATGATTGTTCGTTGTACATGTCTATCTTGCATGGTTCATATGACCCTGACCTTATTTACATAGATCATTGATAATTTTAAGTTTATGTGATAATTGTAGTTACAGTTTTCTGTAAATTCAGATATTTTTTTGATTTTTTATTGAGAAAATTGCCATGGGATGATGGGTGTCATAAAAAATAAGAACTTGCATTTTAAATTTTGATAGCAATATATGTATGCAGCATTTCCTCCAATTGCAATAATTTATCTCACATTTGTGTAAATTGTTCAACAAGGGCAATAATAAATGCATGAAGAAATTTCTGAATTTACAGTATCTTCCAACATAAATTCAATCCTGATCAGCAAAGAAGATGAGAAATTTCAGCCTGTGCCCTCTTTGTAACTTCGGGCTGAATATGTTATTTGACTAACAGACGTTCAGCTAAACGTCACAAACCACATTATCACCCAAGATAAAAAATCTGTTTTCCATAACAGAAAGTTATTCAGGTCACATAAAACAATATCACTGAAGCTAAAAAAGCTGCATTTTACAATGACAGGCATTTAGGTCACAGACCACAATATCACCCATTGAAGCATGGATTTGATGAATGGTTTGGTGCACCCAACTGTCATTTTGGACCCTATAACGACATTGATACACCAAACATACCAGTTTATAAAGATGCCGAAATGGCTGGAAGGTAGGTAAAAAAGGATAGCCCAGAATAAAAATAAACAAGCAAAATTTTGGCATCTGAATGTTCAAAATGTTGAAATTCATGTATACATCACACAACTTTTTTTTATTCCTGCATAAAAAAATTCCTGTATAATTAAAAAAAGTGGATACTTTACACCAAAACTGTTATATTTTAGTTAAGGACATTGATTCAACATTTGATTCTACAAATAAGAGACAGTTTGAAGTACATTTGATTTTAGGACTAATTTATAAGATTCCTTCTTTTAGGAGTTATTACCCCTAATTGACAATTTGTAACAATTTTTAGTATTTTTATTACATTTTTCCTTTGAATTCTATGGCAAAAGGGAGATAATTCAATACTGTAAATTTCCATGGTTACATGAATTTTAATTTTTTAGGAGTAATACCAATATTGTTTTTCCCCTATTAGTCTTTATTAGACTGGGACTTTTCAAAATATTGTGCTGAATTTATCTTTGTTTCAAAAAAAGAAATACTTGGTATGAGTAAAGTTTTATCCTGTCCAGTACTGCAGTAAAAATTTCACATAACATTTCATTGCATATAAGATAATAACCATCACGGAATGTTTACAAGCTTTAGTAACCATGTCACCTCAAGTTTCCAAAATATTTAATAGAAACACCAAATCAAAAAAGAATGGTGCTTTGAAACACCCAAGATTTTTATGGCTCACTATTTTTTTTTTCTGCAATGAAATGCAGGGTTAATTTCTTATAACTGTCAAGTTTTTATTCAAGGGGTTATTTTTTTCAACCCTTTTTTGTATGAAACTTGATGTGACGTACCATGATTTGGTGGTACTACACATATTACAGACGGGAACTCTCACTTTTATTACAGAATAATTAAAATTTGTTCATGGTCTTATTGTAAGAGAAATGTAATGTTAATTTGGAAAACATATCATGAATTTAACAGTTGACTAATTCTCAATTTATTCATGACACTTTTTATTTTCCCATTTAGATATTATGAAGAATTTGTGATTGATAGGAATACAGGGGAATCAAACTTGACCAAGATGTATTTAAATGTAAGTATATACGTGTGTAGTGAAAAATTATAAAACGGGAATCTTTATTGTAGCATTTACTTCTTAATCTCTTAACCGTTATAATCGTACTATTCATAAATGGAATAAATAATTACAGTCAAAGTCCGGAAAGCCGGAATCCTCCAAATATTGAACAATCTTGATTGGTCTGGATTATTTTACACAACTTTATAAAGAAATGTATTGATTACTTATGTCTTTTCTTACATGAACTTTTTATACAATAAATTTGATAATATATTCCTGCTCCATTGATATATATTGGAAGAACAATTATCATACTTTTAATATACTAATGTGACATTAACATTTCACAACTGTTGTCAGATAAGTCAACCAAAACTGTAAACCAATTTTTGCATTAAGACCTGTCTTGCCTATTTTGTGATGGTTGATTTTTTATAAACTTTGCTGATATATTCTTGTGAAAGAAGATTCTACACAGTAATATTTGTGACAATTTATAAATAAAATTTTTTAATTTTATTTACAAAAAATGAATAGCTTGTAAGAATTAATTGATTTACAGTAGCTAAGTTTGGTAAATGGAAATCCTTTAATTTATGCATATCTACCTCTACAACAAAAGCATTTTCATAATTTGCTTACGATTGTTTTTAAAGGAAGCTCATCATTTTATAAAGAAACAAGTAGCGAGGAAGGAACCATTCTTTCTGTACTGGGCTGCTGATGCAACTCATGACCCTTTATATGCCTCGTCTAATTTCTTAGGGACAAGTAATAGAGGACTGTATGTATACTTTTAATTTTTTTTAAATCATGTCTGTCTGTAATATTCTTAACATAACATAACTAGATGCTCATGCTTTTAACACAAAATTAATAATTGTGTTTTTATTAGGGATTTCCATTGAGATGAAACTTTATAGTAATCAGTATGAGTGTTTGCCCATATCATATGGTATTTCGGCAGCTTTATATAATTGCTCACCTACGATAGAACTAGAAGATGTGTGGCAAATATTATTTGAATGTTAGGTTATAGGCCTGTATTTTTACCATTGTTTGGAGTAGAATGATAATATTTTGAGTGATTATTTACCACACTGAAGGGTTTGACATCATAAACATTTACATTTTTTACCTAAAAGTATCATACATTTAGTTTTGGGTGAAATTGAAATGTAAGCAATAGCCATCCCCAAATTTATATTTTTCGTCACATCAATATCTTTAATTAAATGTTCTTTGGTAAAATATCTTTTTTTGGAAGGCTTTTGCTTATATCTAAATATAAAAGGATATTTTCAAAATGTAGACTTTTTGGCAGATCATGCAGGTTTTCCTTAAAGATATGAAAGTTGAGACATCATCCATATCTTTAAGAAAACTTCAAATATATTATTACTATTATCTAAAAGTTTTTTTTTTTTAAGAACATGTTAAGGATATTAATTTATAGATTTATACTATTTTGTAAGGCTGAAAAATTTAGTCTATATATGTCGTGTACAAGTTGCGATTTTATACATGTTATAACATGTACAGAAATATTGTACATGTTATAAATTGTACAATGCAAAAATACAAGTTACAACATGTACAAAAGTACCTTGTACATGTTAAAACATGTACAAAATATTGCTTAAAAATGGTTTTAACCTGTACAAAATTTGAAAATAAATATAAATAAAGCAGAAGATAAATTTGAAATTTATTAAATAATAAAGAACAATAATCAAAAGCAAAAGAAAGGTGCATTATTTAAAGCATGTTTAAAATACTACATTTTCATACATTTTAGAAACCAGTTTTGTTTACATGTTGCTACAAGACAGAGACATGTGACACCTAGATTTGCACAAAACTTTCATTCTTCTACATTTACACCTTCCAGACTTACAATTGCCTTTCTTACATTAATAATGCATAAAACCTTGCCCTCCACTCAATGATATCTTATACACTATCTCTCTCACACTCATATCACTCATTGGGACTTCAGACACATCTAATGTTGCATTTGCAATAAATTGAACCTGGTTTCTACTCAAATATCCCTTTATTTGTCCAACTTTAGTTCCAATTTTATAGCTGACATCTTCATTCACATTCATCACACCACCTATTATGTTTCTCTCGTCGTCAGGGCCCCTATCAACGGACAGAATTGGAATGATAGCGTTATCACCTTGGGAGAGAACTGTTAATCTAGTTTTCATGTTTTTTGTTAAGGCATCAGCTTGTACCTGGTGGCCAGAAAGGGCCCTCTTTCATGCACGCTTGATGTCAATATTTGATATTTAAGACAAACCACCACTAGTATTGACATGAGGAATATCACCACCAGAAAGCTCCCTCTTACTAGGAATTATACCAGTAGGTGTCATGCTGATACTTGCTTCATCAGCCATGTTAGCATCACTTAATTCAATGTTTCTGTCTCTAAATCAATGGTTTGTTCATCGTTGTCTGCTGAATCATGACCATTCAATTGACCATCAGTTTCAGTGTTTGTGTCATTGATAATATCTGTCTCGGACATTGTTTGGTCAGTTTCAATTTCAGTGTCAGTATTATGTTCTGTCTCAGTTAAAGGGTCTTCACTGTCAGTATTGGCAGTGGATGCAGAAATCACTTCAAATATTGCTTCTAAGTCTTCTTCTGTTTGAATACCAGGAAGATCTCTAGGAAGTGACGATGAGCTCAATCCTACTTTTGGATCAGAACCAATAATTGCTTTATTGAGATTGCCCTATCACACGTTGATATGATCGATTTTTCTGAAATTGGATAAACCTTAATCCTTCAGACCATTGTGTAGAATTATTTTCACTGAGCTATGTTGCAAGCATTTCTTTTACATCAGCATTAGCCCTTTCCACAGATCCCTGGCTCTGTGGGTGACATGGTCTACCATGAACAGTTTTAAGATCAGGCCATAATGACTTAGTAAGCTCAGTAATTATATTGGCAGTAAATTCATGCCCAATATCACTCTGTAGAATCATTGGAGCTCCTAATATAAGAAAAAATATCTAGAAGATTGTATGCTAACTCTGCAGTTGTTTTTGATTTCAATGGACGCAAAATACTGAACTTGGTAAAGTGGTCTTGGTAATGTAACACCCACTTATAGCTACTGTCTGGGACTGATTGATAATCAATTAAGTCAACTTGTCCTCTTAAACTAAAACCAGACGATCTGATTGGTTAAATGACTAGTTTTGAAAGCTCAGAACGTTTTTTCTTTAGAGCACAGTGAACACAAAGTTTCAGAAATGTTTTTATTGCTTCACGACTTATGTTGGCATAGTGCATTTTCAGGTCATTGTATGTTTTATGCAGTCCACCATGGTCTACAGCAGTGTGACTGTTTAATAATAGCATACATTTCCTCAATGGCCACAAAGTAGATAATTGGTTCATCTGAAATTTTTAAGAGCAATGCCTTGAATTATACCCCCTCCCCCTCTTTTTGTAACAAGTTAAAACCATTTTTAAGCAATATTTTGTACATGTTATAACTTGTACGAGGTACTTTTGTTCATGTTATAACTTGTATTTTTGCATTGTACAAATTATAAAATGTACAATATTTCTGTACATGTTATAACATATACAAAATCGCAACTTGTACACGACACAATATTTCATTTGTTGAGTTTTTAGAAAGTTGGGATTCAATCTACCAGAGAGTCAACCTATCTAGTCACATGCTAGTGTATACTATATTGAATGTTATAGATATGGAGATGCTGTTAAGGAACTTGATTATTCTGTAGGACAAATTTTACAGTCATTGAAAGATAATGGTGTAGATAAAAATACTTTAGTATTCTTCTCTTCTGACAACGGAGCTGCTACTTATGCAAAAACTGGTGGTAGGTACATATTTGATAGAAATGAAGAAAAGATCACATACAACTGTCAATAATGTCCAAATAAAAGTACCAATTGTTTTAACAGAGTATTGTAATCATGACAGTGATAAAGGTACAGAATATTTTGTCATTTTTAAATGTTCAGAAATTATTGCGTGTATTTATTATTGCGAATTTTGAAGAATGGACAACAATGCAAGATTTATTGTTGCAATTTAAGGAAAATGTGCATGTTGATATAGGTACATGTATCACATATCAAAATGCAAGTTCTTAATATTGCAATATATTTACCCAGTTGCATTATTCACATTAATAAAAGCCTAGCAATAATTTCTCAATTTACAGTAACTTATATGAAATACTACCATATTATAAAACATTATAAACAAACAATTAAATCATTCCAGTAAAAAATATTACTTTAAACTATGCACAGCAACAAGTTAAAAATCAAATTATGTGTAAATATTTTGTAAAGGTGGAAGCAATGGTCCTTTCTTGTGTGGGAAACAAACAACATTTGAAGGTGGTATGAGAGAGCCAACTATTGCCTGGTGGCCTGGAGTTGTTCAACCAGGAAAGGTTGGTTGCATGACTTGGTATTCCTTTATCAAACTAGAGTAATATTAAATGGTAGAAAGAGACCTACTTAGAAGCAGTGACATATATCGCTTTGTTAAAGCGCTTGAGGCTTCATGGTTCAGTTAATTCTTCAAACTGAAGTGTGGTATGTTGTTCAAAGTTGGCGAAGCCCATTTTAATAGGTATAGAAGACATTTCAGTACAAAATAGGCATCTATATATTCCCCTTACTGTCTCTTGTATAATACTGGTTTATATTTATGCAGGTTATTATATGTATAGATTTAGAGAAATGCCTTTGAATATATCTTCTGGCTGGACAGAGAACCCTTGATAAAATGGTGACCTGGGATTTTATCTTTGGGACAAGCTGCTTGATGAATATGCTGTTTATGTAATTTGGTCCTAAGGGTACCCGATGAAGTTATTCCAGGATAGGTACCATGAGCACTGAATTGGTATTTTATGTTTATATAACATGAGCTTGATTTCTGTTACAGGTATCTCATCAAGTTGGTTCTCTTATGGATTTATACACATCTTTTATTGAGTTAGCAGGAGGAAATATACCTAAAGACAGAGCAGTGGATGGAATAAGTCTGAAGAGTGCCTTACTAAACAATACAGTGAGAGATAGGTTTGTTAAATCGGTAGACAATTTTTAATACTATGAATATTAATTTTTTATTAATTGATCCAATTTCATATGTAAATAAATTTTGTTTGTACAGTTTTAAATAAATTTTAAAGGCAGATTTCCTTATGATAAATCAATGAAAAATTTATATTTTATTGGGGATCAAATTTAATGGTTTCATTTTTTTCACAGTATGTAGGTGCATTTGAAAGTGGCAATTTTTTTTTAATAGGCCATTGTTTTATTATCGAGGGGATGAACTTATGGCAGTAAGAGTTGGCTTGTATAAAGCACATCTTTGGACATGGACAAACTCAATGAAAGAATTTAATGCAGTGAGTACATATTTGGTTTCTTTATGTTTCAGAGTGTATCCCCTGTTTTTCTTAAAAAACAATTGCTTTTTTTTTGTCAAGTGGTAACATAAAAACATTAACTAATTTTAATGTTTTTTTTCCCAGTTTGTCCTTTTAATAAATGTGTGTAAGTAACCAAATGATTTATGTCTGATGGCTTAGTTTTAAAACTCTTTATTTATAAAGGAGAAGGTCGGATAAAACCACTTTTTTAGCCCCATTCATACACCTTTTTTTTTTTATATAAATCTACTGAATAACATCTTTCATATTGCCATAAGACTTTAGGATAATGGTTGTTACTTAACTGACTTTAAAGGGACTTAACTAGGTAAGTGAAACTAGTAAATTAAACCAGGTATTTTCACTCCCAATGCTCTAAATAAAGGTTTCTAGGATGCCACTTCACAAAATGATTATAAGATTTAAATATGTATAAGCTATACACATTTGTTAAGAAGTTATGTGGACATAATTGGGGACATGTTGAAATATTTATAAATCAATCATGGTTTTTGTTTTAGGGAATAAATTTTTGTCCAGGAGAAGAAATTGAAGGTGTCACTACTCATGAACAAATGAACAATACAAACCAACCATTATTGTTTAATATAGGCAGAGATCCTGGTGAAAAGTACATTATAAGGTCTGCACATTTACTATCCATAAACTGGCACTTTACAAATGAAATACTTAGCATTTCTTTATAAGGATTATTGACTAAAAAAAAAAAAAATACAAAAAAAAACCAACACATTACTGTTAAAATATCAATTTTCACTTGGTAATAGTTCTTACAATGTTTATGAAATTAGCACCCTTAAAGGTTTATGATTTAGTAAATAAAGAAAGACATAACAAAAATTGTAAAATCCATAAAAATAAATTTTCATGAATACTGTAAATTTCAGAAATTAATTCGTGCATTTAATATTGCGATTTTTGAAAAATGAACAAAAATGTGATTTAATTATTGTGATTTTAGGAAATGCTACATAAAAATATATACATGTATCATATATCAGAATGTGAGTTCTTATTATTGCAATACTCACTGAGTCGCATTATTTGCATTAATAAAAACCTCACAATAAATTCTGAATTTACAGTATGTTTTTACATGCAAAACAATGATTTGAGACTTGTATAAATTCAGAGTATAGTATTGCTGAAATGCATTTGTTTTAAATTTCAGACCTAATTCAGAAGAATACAAAAAAGTTATGCCTTTAATAATGGTGCAAGTAAATCAACATAAAAAGAACCTAGTACCAGGAAAACCTCAGCTCAACATGTGTGACAGATCCGTTATGGTTGGTATATATACATATGTCTATACTACTTATTGAGGAGACCTGTTTATATCCTACTATATTAAATCAATCAATAAGACTTTCTGTTTTGACACTAATAAGTACTGCATAGCTTGTTATCACAATATTTCATTATTCAATCTGGATTATTTGTGGAATCATTTGGTAAGGAAAATGACTTCCATATGACCTTTCCACCTTCCCATGATGCAATTTGAATTTATGTCAATTATTACTTTTACTTTGTAGGAATCTGTAAAGATAAGACTAAAAACATCAATACATCCAAACTGCAACACACCACAATATACTTGAATGAAACATTCATGGACCAAAAATTCAACCAATAATTTCAACAACAATGTATCAAAAAGACTTTCAAAGTTTTGATTTCACAACAAAGTTAAAAAAAAAGTTGACCTTGAGAAAAATAGTTCAAATTATTTACCATTTGGAAAATAATAGTATCTTGATGTGGATTATTTCCCTTTGATTATAAAGACTACAAATTGTTAGCACTTAAAACTATATTAAAGCTATAGATTGATGAACTTTAAAACAACATTTCATCACAATATAAACTGCAATTAAAAGTTTAAATTATATTTTTCAGAACTGGTCTCCACCTGGTTGTGAGAAATTTAAATGTCTTCAAGGACCACAACCTGATCCATATGAATGTAGCTGGCCTCATTAATTCTGTTGCTGGTGTGATGGATAAAAGTCCTCAGTAGTGATATAGTATGATTACAAATAAGTGCAATGCAATGATAGAATCAATTGTCTTCCAGACCAAAATGTCAACTGATATTGCAAATGAGAGAAAATTTATATTTTTTGATGGCATTTGAAATTCCTTTACTTAAATATTATGTAGTTAAGTGTAGATTCCATGTTTGGTTAATGTGATAAGTTTGTTGCTCAATGCTTTAAAGCATGAATTTATAATTTTTGTTTCAAAATCGAATGGAGTATGTGTAATTTTATAATTCATACACAAAAATAACTTTAAGCAATTGCTTGTTATTCCATTGTTTATAATAATTATAAACAATTTTTTGTGATAAATATTACCCAGAATTCATTAGATTGTGAAACAGTTAATTATCATACTTTAACTACAAACAGTGATGCATGATTAATTTTTATATTTCTGTTCTAAAGGATATCCCTTGCCAAAATCTAAATGTGAGATTTTAGTTATTACAGTGTTCTTCTCACATTAAATTCTAAATTTACAGTAATTATATTTATATGATATTTTATGCTGTTTCAGTCATATTTTTATTGTTCAGACTGTCATGACAGAAAACTATTTCTTCACACTATATTCATTTGATTTCGCTTGAGTTTCAGTTATTTTTATTGAATCACTGAATATGACAATGACACAGAAACATACAATTCTAATTACACTACTAACATTCAAAGTTAATGATTATTTTTTACTGAAAGAGACACAAATATCACTTTGATTTCAGTAAATTATATTGAAATTAATATGGGACTAATGTTATTTATAATTTTTTTCTGTTGCTTATCATATAATAGTATTAAATGCTAGATTTATGTTTTAAACAAAAAACAATATGCTTAACTAATGCTGGGCAGCTTAGAAATATAACAGATAAGGTGTTGCATGAAAATGTATACTGTGAATTTTATGAATTTCACAGTATCCAGTTATCACAATCTTGTTAATAGTCATCTTTGCAAGTATTTATTTTCTGTTTTCATATACTTTATTATGTATTCTACAATTGTGCAGTTTTAAGAGTGTATCATTTTTTTGCATCTGTATGCATTGAGGAGATTAAAAAAGTTTGTTAATGAAAGTTTATACTTTAAATGAATGCATATTTTTTTAGAATTTTTTATTTATTTCATCAGATACTGATTTCTTGTTGTTGAATATATTTTTGGTTAATATTTTGTCCCAATTATATTTCAGGTTGACATGATTTTAATTAGTGCATTATTTGACTTGATTATTTATGTTACTATATGGTGAATTTTTAGTATAATGATTTTGGGATTGCATAAAACTATTAATATTTTTGCATTTAAAAGGTATATTTCTGTGTAGATATACTATATTTCTTTAAGAATCATATAGGAAAGGGTGTATCATTCCCCAGTATTTTGTAGTAACATGAAAAATATAAGATCTCATTTAATATGCCTTGATCTTTTCCTTCTCCAATAGTTATAAAGGGCAGTAACTCTGAACAAAATAAATCTTTATAAACATTTAATTACTCCATAGTCTTTACATCTTTATTCTATGATCATCAGCACTAAAAGTAGCTCAATAAAACAACATGTCTTAATATCAATGGGAAAGAGTTTTGTTTACAAATCATAAATTGTGGTCCTTGTGGCTCATAAGGGATGTAGACCCAGCTTCTTTCTAGAGGCATTTAAGAGGGAACATGTTTTAACATATTTTTCATGTATCAAGTAAATCAATAAAACTTTTGACAGCTAGCCTGGTTAGAGTTGTTATAAGGTGTTTAATAATGTATTCATTATTTTTTTTTTATTTTTTTATTTTGTGGAATTTAGTCATTCCAAAATTGTTATATTCATTTGTATTTTGTATTTTGTGATCTCCAACCTGTAATTATTATTTACTTCTTTACATATTATTGTCTTTTATATAGATATACTATTTATTGAAAATAAAAATCTCCATTTTTTGTAATTCAAGTGAGTTTTCATGTGTTGCGTACATATGTAGAGGTAAACAGATGGACAGAATAATGAACTGACTGACAAGAATTAATTCATATTTCCAAACTTTTCATTACGGAGGCATACAAATCACCTTCCTGCCTCATCTGAAATTTTGAAAACTAGCCTCAGAGGATTAAAATAAATTCTATATGGCTTTAAATGCAAAAATAAGGTATAGAAGCCACTGGTGCTATGTAAAAAGATATAAGAAGATGTGGTATGAGTGCCAATGAGACAACTCTCCATCCAAGTCATAATTTGTTAAAGTAAACCATTATATGTTAAAGTACGGTCTTCAACACGGAGCTTGGCTCACACAGAACAGCAAGCTATAAAGGGCCCTAAAAATGACTAGTGTAAAACCATTCAAACAGGAAAACCAACGGTCTAATCTATATAAAAAACGAGAAATACTTATGAACCACATCAACAAACGACAACCACTGAACATCAGGTTCCTGACTTAGGACAGGTGCAAACAAAAGGCCACAAAGAAGAGGAAATAACAAGCACATAGATGAAGCCCTTATATTGACCTATAGTTACTTACCTGCTGGAGACCTATCTCATTGGCAATCATACCACATCTTATTTTTACATATATGTTATCAAATAATTTTCTCTTTAAATTTCCTACTGCAGAACATACTGTAAATTCAGTACATTTATTATTGTGATTTTGTCATTTTAGACTAAAATGCGATTTTAGTTTTTGCGTTATTGAGAAAAATCCTGTTGAATTCATATAAAAAATTTCAAAATGGGAGTTTAAATTATTGCGATTATAACCCTTGGCATTTATAGCAATAATTTCTGAATTTACAGTATTTGTTCATAAAGGTTTTTTTATGTTATTGCATTTTGACCATACCTGAAAAAAGTTGGTCACAGTAGTATGTGTAGTGGAAATTTAGTGTCAAATATTGTCTTACAACAGCTGGTGGTTGATTCCACCAAGTATATCTCTTGAATTTATCATCTCCCAAGTGGAAACTGTTGTTATGTTCAGTTGAATTATGTAACCTAACTCAGACTAAAGCAAGAAAATTAAACTTGACCTTAAAATATTTAGCTTTTCTTTTTATTATGTTTCAGTGGGGTCATACTTAAGTTTTGTTCATATTTAACTTTCCAAACATGGGTTCTAAATAAATTCACAATGTTTATTTCAGAATAAAGATAGTGCAAATCCTATGTTATGAATCTGTAAAATCAAATCCACATTTTTATACAACCGCAAAAAATTTTTGTGGTCGTATATTGGTATGACGTTGGCGTCGTCGTCGTTGTCGTCCGGCATCGTCGTCCGAAGACACATTAGTTTTCGCACTCTAACTTTAGTTTAAGTGAATGGATCTCTATGAAATTTTACCATAAGGTTCGATACCACAAAAGGAAGGTGGGGATTGATTTTGGGGGTTATGGTACCCACAGTTAAGGAATTAGGGGCCAAAAATAAGCATTTTTGTAACTTCCAGACATAACTTGTGTGTTAGTGTATGGATCTCTCTGACATTGTACCACAAGGTTCCATATCACAAAGGGAATGCTGGGATTGATTTAGGGGTAATTGCCTCCAAATTTTAGGAATTAGGGGCCAAAAAGGGGCAAAGAACAAGCATTTTTCTAGTTTCATGACAATAACTTGTGCGTAAGTGTATGGATTTCTCTGACATTGTATCACAAGGTTCCATATCACAAAGGGAATGCTGGGATTGATTTTGGGGGTAATTGCCTCCAAATTTTAGGAATTAGGGGCCAAAAAGGGGCAAAAAACAAGCATTTTTCTAGTTTCGTGACAATAACTTGTGTGTAAGTGTATGGATCTTTATGAAATTGTACTACAAGGTTCCATATCACAAAGGGAAAGCTGGAATTGAGTTTGGGGATAATTGCCCATAAAGTTTAGGAATAAGGGGCCAAAAAGGGGCCAAAAATAAGCATTTTTCTAGTTTCCAGACAATAACATGTGTTCAAATGTATGGATCTCTCTGAAATTGTACTGCAAGGTACCATACCACAAAGGGAAGGCTGGGATTGATTTTGGGGGTAATTCCCTCAAATTTTTAGTAATAAGGGGACATAAAAGGGCAAAAAAACAAGCATTTTTCTAGTTTCAGGACAATAACTTGTGTGTAAGTGTATGGATCTTTATGAAATTGTACTGCAAGGTTCCATATCACAAAGGGAAAGCTGGGTTTGAGTTTTGGGGTAATTGCCCTAAACGTTTAGGAATTTGGGGCCAAAAAGGGGCCAAAAAACAAGCATTTTTCTAGTTTCCAGACAATAACTTGTGTTCAAGTGTATGGATCTCTCTGAAATTGTACTGCAAGGTACCATACCACAAAGGGAAGGCTGGGATTGAGTTTGGGGGTGATGAATCATAAGGGGGTTCAAAAAATTGGGGGGGATTTTTTTTTTCTTTAAAATTTTCCATTTTCAATTGGTTATTTCTGATTCATATATAAAAGCAAATAATAATGATATGGTTTGAATAGGTAAATTAAAAAATTTTAAGTTCTTAGACCACTTTCATTCTGTGTGAGAAACCTATGCTGTGTCAAATATTTAATTACAATCCAAATTCAGTGCTGTATCAAACTTGAATGTTGTGTCCATACTTGCCCCAACTGTTCAGGGTTCGACCTCTGCGGTCGTATCAAGCTGCGCCCCAGCGGAGCATTTTATTACTTTTTAAAACATGACTGGAATCATTACTTCATAATATATATACGGTGACCTATAGTTGTTAATTTCTGTGTCATTTGGTCTATTGTGGAGATTTGTCTCATTGGCAATCATACCACATCTTCTTTTTATGTATACATATAAATTCTGGTTCAATTGCTGGTTGATAGAATAAAATTGAGAATGGAAACGCTGAATGCGTCAAAGAGACAACTACCCGACCAAAGAGCAGAAAACAGCCCAAGGCCACCAATGGGTCTTCAACACAGTGTGAAAATCCTGCACTTGGAGGCAGTCTTCAGCTGGCCCCTACAGAAGTATTTATCAGGCAAGAATGAAATAGACCCAGGCATGGTTGATACATTAATTTTCAAATAAAGGTCTGCAAAAATTACAAGAACTGATTTGTTGTTGCTGTGATTAGTAAAATATATTTGTGTATGCTTGAAGGTCTATAGATGTTTATTTTTGGTTTACTTGTGTTTTTGAAATGCTGTCTCTCTTGTTTTTATCCAATGTCTCCTTTTTTCATATGTATTTTACAGAAAGTAAAAAAATAACTAGTTACATGATATATCTAAAGTAATTATCTACAGCATTATAGTACAAAATGTATAGAACTTTTAATTTGAATGTACCAAAAAATTTACAAAATTTAATGTCTGCATTTCCTTATGAAACAAGAATATGAATCCATAGGACACCATGCCCTGAAAATACATCACATGGTAAAGCTTTGATCTAAATACATGAAACTTGTTTGTGGTTGCTGTTAAATAGCTGTGAATTTTTAATAAAATGCTTCGCTGGGCGCAGCTTGATACGACCGCAGAGGTCGAACCCTGAACAGTTGGGGCAAGTATGGACACAACATTCAAGCTTGATACAGCTCTGAATTTGGATTGAGATTAAATATTTGACACAGCATAGGTTTCTGACACAGAAAGAATGTGGTCTAAGAACTTCAATTTTTTTAATTTACCTATTATGGTCCAATGTCCAAAATCAAAATACATGGTTAGATTCAGCATATCAAAGAACCCCATATTTCAATTTTTGTTGAAATCAAACAAAGTTTAATTTTGGACCCCAACTTGGACAAACTTGAAAACTGGGATATAATCAAAAATCTAAACACATGTTTAGATTCAGCATATCAAAGTACCCCAAGAATTCAATTTTTGTTAAAATCAAACTAAGTTTAATTTTGGACCCTTTTGACCTTAATGTAGACCAATTAAAAAAAAACGGGACCCAAAATTAAAAATCTAAAAACACGGTTAGATTTGGCATATCAAAGAACCCCAATAATTCATTTTTTGATGAAATCAAACAAAGTTTAATTTTGGACCCTTTTGACCTCAATATGAACCAATTTGATAGCGGGCCCACAAATAAAAAAATCTAAATACATGGATAGATTCAGCATATCAAAGAACCCCATATATTCAATTTTTGTTGAAATCAAACAAAGTTTTATTTTGGACCCCAATTTGGACCAACTTGAAAACTGGGCCAAAAAAGTAAAATCTAAATACATGTTTAGATTCAGCATATCAAAGAACCCCATATATTCAATTTTTGTTGAAATCAAACAAAGTTTAATTTTGGACCCCAACTTGGACCAACTTGAAATCTGGTCCCATAATCAAAAATCTAAACACATGTTTAGATTCAGCATATCAAAGAACCCCAAAAATTCAATTTTTGTTAAAATCAAACTAAGTTTAATTTTGGACCTTTTGGACCTTAATGTAGACCAATTCAAAAAAAGGGACCAAAAATTAAAAATCTAAATACACGGTTAGATTTGGCATATCAAAGAACCCCAATAATTAAATTTTTGATGAAATCAAACAAAGTTTAATTTTGGACCCTTTTGACCTCAATATGAACCAATTTGATAGCGGGCCCACAAATAAAAAATCTAAATACATGGTTAGATTCAGCATATCAAAGAACCCCTTATATTCAATTTTTGTTGAAATCAAACAAAGTTTAATTTTGGACCCCAATTTGGACCAACTTGAAAACTGGGCCAAAAATCTAAAATCTAAATACATGTTTAGATTCAGCATATCAAAGAACCCCATATATTCAATTTTTGTTGAAATCAAACAAAGTTTAATTTTGGACCCCAACTTGGACCAACTTGAAAACTGGGCCAATAATCAAAAATCTAAACACATGTTTAGATTCAGCATATCAAAGAACCCCAAGAATTCAATTTTTGTTAAAATCAAACTAAGTTTAATTTTGGACCCTTTGGACCTTTATGTAGACCAATTTAAAAAACGGGACCCAAAATTAAAAATCTAAAAACACTGTTAGATTTCGCATATCAAAGAACCCCTATAATTCAATTTTTGATGAAATCAAACAAAGTTTAATTTTGGACCCTTTTGACCTCAATATGAACCAATTTGATAGCGGGGTCCACAAATAAAAAATCTAAATACATGGTTAGATGCAGCATATCAAAGAACCCCATATATTCAATTTTTGTTGAAATCAAACAAAGTTTAATTTTGGACCCCAATTTGGACCAACTTGAAAACTGGGCCAAAAATCAAAAATCTAAATACATGTTTAGATTCAGCATATCAAAGAACCCCATATATTCAATTTTGTTAAAATCAGACAAAGTTTAATTTTGGACCCTTTGGACCTTAATGTAGACCAATTTGAAAACTGGACCCAAAATTAAAAATCTAAATACACGGTTAGATTAGGCATAACAAATAAATAAATGTGGTCAAAGATTTTACAAATCTAATGCGCGATACTGGTCTTCCTTTATAAATATGCATTTCTTTAAACATAATTTAAAAGCAGTGTAAGGGAGATAATTTCAATGATGTATTTGATTTATCTCCCTTACACTGTTTTAAATTATCTTAATTGTTCATTAACCATTACTTTATACATAATTTAAAAGCAGTGTAAGGGAGATAATTTCAATGATGTATTTGATTTATCTCCCTTACACTGCTTTAAATTATGTTTTGTACTAAAGTATTTGTCCATTAATGAGGACAACCTTGTTTTTCCCCCTTTTTTGCCCCTAATTCTTAAACAGTTTGAGCAATAACCCCCAAAGCAAATCCTAACCATCCCTTTGTGGTATGGAAACTTGTAGTATAATTTCAGAGAGATCCATACACCGTTCCACAGTTATTGTCTGGAATCTAGAAAATGCTTATTTTTGGCCCCTTTTTGGCCCCTAATTCCTTAACTGTTGGTACCATAACCCCCAAAATCAATCCCCACCTTCCTTTTGTGGTATTGAACCTTATGGTAAAATTTCATAGAGATCCATTCACTTAAACTAAAGTTAGAGTGCGAAAACTAATGCGTCTTCGGACGACGACGCTGGACGACGACGACGACGACGACGACGATGCCAACGTCATACCAATATACGACCACAAAAATTTTTTTGCGGTCGTATAAAAATGAGTCACTTGATAATGATGTCAGTCTGTTTAATGTCCAGTGGAAAATAAAATGCATATTAAGGATGAGAACAATGTGATATAAATATGAATTCACCTTGGTACAAGAACTACACGCCAAGTTGGATGCTAGTATGCAAGAAGATCCAGGTTACAGAGAGGGTTAAGCGCCACCACATTCTTATGTGCCTGTCCCAAGTTGGGAACCTGTAGTTCAGTGGTTGTCATTGGTTCATGTCTCATATTTGTTTTTAGTAAATTGTTTTGTTAAAAATTAGGCCATTAGTTTTCTCAATTGTTTCACATTTTTCAAGTCTGGGCCTTTTATAGCCCACTATACGGTATGGGTTTTTCTCATTGTTAAAGGCTGTATAATTGCCTATAATGGCTAACATCCACTTTATTTGAACTTTTGTGGATAGTTGTCTCATTGGTAATCATACCACATGTCTTTATTTTTATACTGACACATTATTCTGACTCTGGGCTGATTAGTCTTTGCTGTTACTCCTCAATGCTGCATGCTTAGCAGAGAAGCAGCAAATACCGGTACCAATTTCCAAATCCCTTGAATTACACTTGACAATAATGAAGAGTATAATTTGTGGTAAATGAAAGTATACAAAAAGGAGTGAACCACAGCAGCATATAAGGAGCACTGGCATACTAAAAAATACGCTCTGCCTGGAGCAGCTGGATACGACCGCAGAGGTCGAACTCTGAACAGGACACAATATTCAAGCTTGATACAGCTCTGAATTTGGATAGTGATTAAATATTTGACACATTATAGATTTCTGACACAGAATAAATGTGGTCAGATAACTTAAAAATTTTAAATGGGACATTTAATGTACTTAATGGTCCAATATCCAAAATCTAATTCCATGGTTAGATTCAGCATATTAAAAGAAGATAACAATTCAACAATGACTTAAAATGTATATGAACTTTTACACTAAACAGATCTGTACAATTTTAGATTTAGACAATACATGCAGGAATAAACCCCCAAAAAAACTCCATGATGTAGTGAAAGATTTTATTGAAATCACAGATATGCATAATATCACAATGTTATCAAAAAACAAAATTATAAATCAGTCTTAACATCCAATCATAAAATAAATTTGATTTATGATCTTCATAAATGACCAAAATATAAATGTCTTAAGATCATGTTATAACAAAAGTATATGAATTTCTCAGTTTTATGAAATAATAGATATATAAAAAGGATAACAGGAACTTCTAAAAATATTTAACAGTAAAAACAAACCACACCAATCCCCTAATCCTCCCCAAAAAGACATACATATAAAGAATAACAACACATATTCAAGATAACCTGACTTGGTACAGACACAAATTGGAAGGAAAACTAAAAAAAAAAAACAAAAAAAATATAGATCACATCATCATATAAGGTCTTCATTAGTGTAATGAAAGTAAAGGTTTGGTTTTTTAAAATACTAATTTTTCATAATCACAACCATTATTTAAGCTTTGTTCAATTGTACTGCCCTGTCTAGTAGGCACATTTTCTTTTGGACATACTGTATTTCAGTATTGGATACCTGTATGTTCTTGCTTAATCTCAAGTACATTAAAATTTTATCATTTTTCTTATTTTGTTAAAATGGGTTTTTTCAAGCTTTTCAGTAAAATGTTCACATACTACATGAACAACAGTGTAAACTTTCAAATTATAAAGTCATATATTTTGTGCATGTTTTCTTTCCTGACTGGATGATAGGGTTTCCAGAACTCGGCCTTACTGAAGATCTGTAAATTCAGACTTTAATGGACATACACAATTTTCACTGCAAATCATCCACAACCAACAACAAAACAATATAAATAAATGTCACTCTTGAATCAGTTCAATGTAATGTTCTAGATGATTATCAGTTGAATTTAAACTGTGAGTTTTTATTTTATTATGATGTTAATCATGTCCAATATTTTGTACAATAAATTACAAACAGAAAAATGGTTACAGCAAACCTTGCAATTACAATTTGTGTGACATCAATGTATGACTGACTATAAATAAATGTACACTGTTATTGGAAAAGTCACTTTCCATATGCTTAAAGCTTATTTTGCAGCTTCCTGGACACAAGGGATCTGACTTTGTGTGGAAGTCCTAAATTTTCACATTCCTGAAAAATACAAGCATGGTATATAGTGTCTATGCAAAAACATGACAAATAAAAAACACAAATCAAAACTATTTCAAAGTATTTAAATGTAATACCTATCAGCAGTAAGCTATAATACATACAATTAGTTATGTTACCTACAGCCCTCATACACATTACAAGAAAAACACTTGTTTAATAAAATGTTGACACAGAGAAATGTCTCCCCTTTATGTAATTGTAATAATATAATGCAAATGTTGAAATTATCTAAACCATCGACTTATCATAAATGGTTCCCTTTAAACTGACCTAAACACAAACTTTAAGATGTAAACAATGCAAAACTTTAAAAGCAATGATGAGGAGGCAGTCAATATAATCTCCATGGAAATGAGATGTGGAAATGCTAATACAACTGTATACCCAATATCATAAACATACAACAAGTGGTTCCCCTTAGATTGACCTAAACAAAAATTTATCATGTAGACTAAGTAACAGTTTTAATGTCAAATAGACCAAGACTGAGGGGGTGGGGCCAAAGAATCTCCATGGAAATGAGATGTGCCAATGCTAATACAACTACATACCAATTTAATTGACTAACCATTTGTGATTCCCTTTATACTGACCTAATCACAAACTTTAACATTTAAACTAAGCAATAGATTTAAAGTCAATAAACCATGACTTTAGGGATAGGGCCAATATTCTCCATGGAAATGAGTTTGCCAATACTAATACAACTGTATACCCAATATCATTGATCTACTATGGTTCCCCTTAAACTGACCTTATCACATACTTTACCAAATTGGTGACACAGCCACCACTAGAAAGACCCAGACTGAGGGGCAGGGTCAAACAAACTCCATTGAAATGAGATGTGCCAATGTGTATACAATTGCATACCAAATATCACTGACTTATCATAAGTGGTTCTTCTTATACTGAACTAACCACAAACTTTAACATTTAAACTAAGCAATAGTTTAAAAGTCAACAGACCAAAACTAAAGTGGCTAGGCCAATAATCTCCATATAAAGAGATGTGCCAATACTAATACAACTGCATACCAAATATCAGTGATTTACAATTAGTGGTAATGGTTCATCTTTGTCTGACCTAATCACAAACTTCTACAAATTGTTGTCGCCATCGCCAACACTACTATCGTCGCCAGAAGCAGCATGCCTTAGTCTCGCTTTTTGACTAAAATGTGGCTAATAATACATTTATGGTCCTAATTTCATTTTAATCATCTGAAAAAAAAGGTGCTCTCAAAACATCTTGTTGTTAATTTTTATGTTTTTTTTTTTATGGCATTTAATGTTCATTTGTAGCTCATGGAAAATACTCTAGAGCAAAAACAGGACATAACATAAGAATGTGTAATTAGATAAATAATATTTAAATGGATTAAAAATCTTTCTCACCTCTTCAAAAGCTTTAGCTGATCCATATCCTCCTAAGTAACCATTTAAACGGGCAGCAACAGGGGAAGTTATTAGCTCTTCATTACTTAGATTAAGGCAATCTAATATCTCATGATACTTTCTCAATTGGTACTTTTGATGGTAACTAAAAGAATAAAAGCAAAAATTTTGTTTCTCTGAGAATATATATCAAGTGATAAACGATATCTGATTTACTCTGTATTCATTTATTATAAGCCTGAGTTGTGCAGAGGGTCCTCGATGGCCGAGAAGTCTAAGTAGTTATTCTACTGTATCACCAGCCTGTCAACACTGAGGTTGTGAGTTTGAACCCTGCACATGGCAGGTGCATTCGATTCCAATCTTAATTGAAAAGGTTTGTAAATTTTCCTCTCTCTCTCTTTGGCTTCCAGCACCAATAAAAACTGACAGCCAAGATATAGCCAATTGAGCTAAATGTGGTGCTAAACACCAACAATCAATCAATCGATCAGTTGTGCAAACTTCTTTTCTGTAAGGCATAAATGCATTTTTTTATAACATTATTTCAGGAAGGGTGGGGTGTATACCAAATTTACTGGGTTTTGTAGCTGGCTAAAAGGTCAACACAATGATAGCATAGCAGGCAAAGTAGCTAAGGCACTGCAGCCGGTTGTACGAACGTGGCATTAGCCTAATGGGTCATTAAGTCCTCATTAAGCCTTTATGATGCATTAGGCTAATGAAGACCTAATGACTCATTAGACTAATGACACATTCGTACAACCAGCTGCTGGTTTACATGAGTTGTTTTTGCTTTGACTTCTTACATGAGTTGTTTATGTTCATAAGCTTTAACTTCTTACATGAGTTATGTATGTTTGTAAGGTTTAATCTGACTTTATGCCCTTTATGGGCCCTGTAGTTTGGGAAATAAAAATATTCTATTCTATTCTATTCTTTAACCGCTGAGCTGATTGTTGTTGTTTCACAGATACTGTGGATTCATCATTATTTGTGGGATATCCATTTTTGTGGATTTCCTGGATAAAGGTATACCACAAAATTAGATATTCAACGAAGAACAAATTTTCTTTAGCCTTGAAATCAAATAACCCCGGAAAATACAAGTTTTCCTCAAGCCACGAAAATTGGTACCCACGAGTCCACAGTATGTATAACTTATATATGTTATAAGTATATCTTACTCTTCAGCATCATAAAAAGTATCAGCTTTCTTTATCTGAGTAAGTATTGGTTGTACCATTTTTTTCTGTTGTTCATTCCTTGATTCTTCTGCTTCCAATTTCTGTTTAGTGTTATGATAAAAGATGGCTGACATGTACTGGGTTCCATGAGACACAGTAGGATTGTGGAATGACCAAAATTTCTTCAGGAGGTCACCATAGCTTACCTTACTGGGATCATACTCTAAGCTAATAGTTTCTGTATGATCTCCACTACAAAATATTTTACAGTTGAAATCAGTTCATAACCATTTCATTGCCATAAATAAAATGAAACATTCTGTGCTTATTACTGCATAAAGTTTTCCCTATCTTGCATACCGGTACATTGTACCATTCATTTAAATATTTCTTCATGTCATTGCCAATTAAAACAAAATTTATCTACAATTGACACAATTATTAATCATTTCTGGTAAAATTAAATGAAGAAATGTTACAACATATAACTGTTTTCAGAGTAAAACGTATTCCTATTTTTCACATATGTATGTTCCATGAAATTTTAATGAACATTTCAGAATACGTTTGTTGTTATGAATACAAAGAAATGTCGGATAGATATCATTTAGACAGTAAACCAAAAACATATGCAATTCAAAATTTAACATTCATTTGTTTGTCAAATCAGATCAGATCAAAAGTTGCCTTACATAACCTTTCATCCTCCAGTGGCATAATTAAGATACTGTTTTATTCATATACCTTAGATGGATTTGGCTATTTTTTTAGGTCCTTTTTGATAATATAGCTCTTCAACTGTTTTGGTTCTTATACATCCTTGGCTTTCAAATATTCTGCTTTGATCTTTCCCGATGAAGGTAAATCCAGAAAAGCGCTTCAGAGCATGAAATTTATAACATGTTGTTTTCATTTTTTGTTGAAATGAAGCGATAAAATTAAGCAAATATTATTCTTTTAATTAATGTCTTGAAATCAATTTGACCAGATAAATTATCACACACATTTTTTTGAAGTTGTAAGATAATACGTATTTGTAGCAGATTGATCATATATGATTATGATAATGTCATACATGTTACGATAGGTAGCATTCTTTGTGGTTCCACCTGTGAATCCCACTTTGGTTGTGATCACACCAGGCAGACAGCCAAACTGTGCCTCAGGGAACCAAAATCAGCTCAGGGCGAAAGTTGCCTTACATAACCTTCCATCCTCCAGTGGCATAATGAAGATATTCTACAAAAATAAAACATATGTATTTTCTAAATAAACCATTTCAGCTGTTCTGATTGAGGACTGGTTCAGAATAATATTCACTTAGACTTAAAGTGCAAAAAACACTTTGAAATAGTGGTGCATTACCCAAGTAAGGCTCTTCAATGGTTATCTTTTCGAATTAGACTATTTACCGGATTTGTAATAACATAAGCAACTCGACGGGTGCCACATGTGGAGCAGGATCTGCTTACCCTTCCGGAGCACCTGAGATCACCCCCCGTTTTTGGTGGGGTTATTGTTGCTTAGTCTTTAGTTTTCTATGTTGTGTCACCTGTACTATTATTTGTCTGATTGTCCTTTTATTTTTGGCCATGACGTTGTCAGTTTGTTTTCGATCTATGAGTTTGACTGTCCCTCTGGTATCTTTCGTCCCTCTTTTATCATACATTTGTACCTTAATGATTTTTTTTGTCATTTGTGGAACTTGGTGTTGATGGCAGATTTTTTTATAGTTAAATTTATTCACAAAATTTTAAAGACCCTTGGCAATTTAGAGCTTAATATATGGTACTAATAGTTTTAACCAACAGAGTTTCACCGTAATTTTATACTTTTTCCTGTGTTTTTGACTGGTCCTTTTAATGACAAACTGGGGACCTACAATGAATGGTGAAAGTGAAATTGCATCTTTTACATACACATACCTTGTGAACTAGGAAAGCTGATTGTTTTAATCTTTTTTGTAATCAATTTAAAATCAACGAAGAATTGACTCATGCATCATCATCATATTTACTTAACAAAAATTGTTTTCCTCTTAAGCTCTTTTTAAACAGGGACTCACTTTGCCATCCAAGGATCCGTTCACAAATAATAATTCAAAAATATCGTTTTACAATAAAAGACTATATGAAAACTATCGCTATCCACCTGACTATAGTTGAGAACCATATGTTGCCATCTAGTTGTCTTTCTTTCTACTGTTAAGTTGCTGACAAAACATCTGCCATATAAAAAACCTTATGCATGGTTCATCACAGTCTTAAGGCAAAAAAGGCTATGTTTACACTTCAAAATTTATTCTGAGTAAAGTCTAACAAATTTTATAAGAAAAGAAGTGAAAACAAAAAATGAGTTTAAGGGAAAACTCAGCAAATAAAATCTAGAGATTTTTGTAAACAAAAATAAAACCATCTTGCAAATGTGTCTTTCTACTCAGATTTCATGTAGATATAATAAGAATTTTAATTAATACTTTAATAAGATAAAAACTTTACCTGAAATCAACAGTGAAGTTTCTTTGTTTACATAGATAATGACATCATAAATAAAAAGTTACTCAAGAACGGCAAAAGTGATGCCAATCACTCTGACAGGGCGGGGGCATAAAAACAAGTCAGATTATTTTACAGGACTAACTAACAAACTTTGTCCTCTTACACAGGTTACATCTGTCTCATCATGCTCATAATGATGTTTAATTTTACTATTCTTCAGATGATTTTTGTCTCTTTTTGACAAATACAAGGGAAATGTAAAAGATATTCCAATAGATTAGATAGTTAACATTGTCTCTGCAGGTGCTAGTCAACCATTTGTCAACTAGGCCCGAAGACATCTAATACTGCCTATAACAACATCTGGTATTGTCAATAAGACACCTCAGAAATGTCCATAAAGTTGTTTTATCTATTTGATTGATTGGTGTTTAAAGCTACTTTCACCACTGTTGGTTATTTTGTGGGGTTAGTCTGTATCAATGGATGAAGCCGGAAAGAACCACTGACCTGCGTAGGAAAATGATATTTTAAATGGTTAAATTGACATTATATAGACTGTCTGAGTTGACTTTGTGGCAGTCCATGTTGACTTTCTAAGTTGTCTCAAGGCCAACGAATTTATACCAAGATTCAAGATTTTTATTAACCAATCTTGGACTCGCGCACGCAAATTGTGTGAGACTTGACAGCACTGCATTACGATATGCTGGGCACAAGTTTACCCATGTCATATTGTGCCATATAATAAAAATAAATGTGGATAGTGTCCACATGTGGACACAGATGATGCCCCCGCTTGCATATCATATAGTTATAAAGGGACATAACTGAAGAACAGTAAAAGTGACGCTACCCAAATTTGAACTTGATCTGAGTTTTGTGTGTAAGTCTCATAACATTTGGTTGAGGCTAACTTAAGTAGAGAACAGAAACTAAAAATTCAGCACTTTTTCTATTCATAAAGGGGCATAACTCAATAATGGTTAAAGTGACACTACCCAAATTCAACTTGATCTGTGTTTTATCAGTGAAAGTCAAAATTAAACATTGCATTGTATAAAGCATTGATTGTAGTTGATTCAACTATAATCATGGACAAAGGACGATAACTCCAATTTTAAAAATAACTTGATATTTAGAAGAAAATAAAAATTTTGCATTTTTTTTACATATATAAAGGGACATAACTCTAGAACGGTTAGAGTGACGCCACCAAAATTCAAACTTGATCTGTGTTTTGTGGTAATAAGCATTGTGTATAAGTTTCATAACATTTGGTTGAGGCAAACTTAAGTTAGAGAACAGAAACTAAAAATTTTGCAATTCTTCCATTTATAAAGGGGCATAACTCTAGGACGGTTGAAGTGACACCACCAAAATTCAAACTTGATTTGTGTTTTGTGATAATAAGCATTGTATATAAGTTTCATAACATTTGGTTGAGGCAAACTTAAGTTAGAGAACGGAAACTAAAAATTTAGCAATTTTTCCATTTATAAAGGGGCATAACTCTAGAACGGTTAAAGCGATGCCACCAAAATTCAAACTTGATCTGTGTTTTGTGGTAATAAGCATTGTGTATAAGTTTCATAACATTTTGTTGAGGCAAACTCAAGTTAGAGAACGGAAACCAATTTTGGGACGTACGGACGGACGTTCGTACGTATGTACGTACGTACAGACGGACAAGGGTAAAACTTAATGCCCCCACCGCTACGGCGGGGGCATAAAAATTCTATTTGCCAATCTCTGTACTATAAATCAGGCTCTGTTTATATATCTGATATCACTATTTATGTTGTATTTGTTTTTTAAAATGTGTTTGTGAAAGTCCAATGTTTGGACTGTTTAAGTAAATATTTGACCTGAAGAAAAAAAATCTATGATGACAATTATTATATAAAATTGAGAGTTAACCTGTAGTTATACCCTTTTAACAGACTCACTATTTAGCGGGCTGCAGGTTGCGGGCTGCAGGCTGCGGGTTGTGGGTTGCGGGCTGCTCTATTTCATTAAATTACAAAGTTACATAAAAATCTAAATACTAATTTTCCTTTACAGGTTTAACGTTAATGAAGAGCTGTGGCATGAGCGCATGATACGCCTGTCGCTTTTTCTATGAATAAAGTTCCATAACTTCTCAATGTCATATCAGAAATTTATAAAAACTAAAGGGAGGTTATTTCAATAGATATAAACCAGTCACCAAAGTTTCATGAAAACTGCTCAAAACATTCTTGAGTTATTGTCCGAAAACTGGAACCCCCCTTTTTTTAATGAATAAAACCACATCATTCGGAAATGTAAAATGTAAAATTTATATAAATCGTAAGGGAACTTATAGATATAAACAATTCGCCAAACTTTCATGCAAATTGGTTAAAGAAAAAGGGAAAGAAATAAAAAACTATCAAATTTTGTTAAAAATAATTAAAAGAATATTAAAAGAAGATGACTTTAGTCCAGATGATGAAAATAAAAAAAAATTAAGTATTTCTGTATCACAAATTTGAAAAAAAATATACATTATTTTATTTTGATTTAAACCTTTATTTGTTTCTCCAGTTTATTAAGACATATTGACTGACCATAGAAATGAAACATTAGAATAGTAAATTTTGAACTTAAACAAATTGTATCTGACAATATATATATATTATTCGTCTAAACAACACGTCACTGCTTCAGACGTACTTATTATATATATATTCCAAATACCGTTTCGATTCCTAACATCACTGAAGAGACATTAATTGCCGAAATCCGGATATGGTGTACAAATTTTTGCACCTCATGTTTGCGGTATACCATCTTTTCCGCAAGTTTATTGTTTTCTGTCTTGTAAAGACACTTTGTATTCACTTGCTGTATGTTCTATGGCTTCTCTTTCATTAAGTTTTGGTACTTTATAAAATTATTTCATTTTTATTTTAAGGATGAAAGGTCTTTTTTATATATATGCAAAGGGATGCTGAATTGCACATAACTATTACATCTCCTTTACTTTTATTTAATGAGTTTGGACAGAAGATATCAAACAAGTTATATAAAATTTTGTCTGAAGAATCTGTCACTAAAACCAATAAATCCATCCTAAAATTAGATGGTTCGATTCACACAATAAATTTCTGACCTTAAAAATTTGGTAAATCTGGCTAATTATCTATAGGTTTCAATTAAAATCATGTTTTATCTAAAGAAAAGGAGAAAAAGAAGAAACACAAACAAATAGGAAGAAAAGTGATAATATATCCTTAATATAACAATCTATAACAACACAAAGCAATGTGTTATTGCACATAAATAGTTTAAGGTCTGTATGCCAAATGTATGACAAATATGAGATGATCTAGAATCATAGTAAGATAAAATCTTAGCAATCTTTGGACACTTTTAAATTACTTGAATTATTAAGTATGATCATTATTTTCATTATCACACTTAATTCAGGGAAATTTTAAGAAAATTATGTAATTTCTTCCTGAAAAGTTACTTTTCGTACACTTTAAATAGTGTCATTGCTTTGTGTGATAAAAGCACTGGCCTAACTGGTTAACAATTTTTACTTTTTATCAATTCTATAATAAGTGATATTTTTGGTTTTGATATTTTCTATATATTTTGGTATAATAAATGACCAGCAATAAATCATTAAAAGTCTGTTAATAATAATACACATTCTTACACAATTTTTTGAAATTTCACAAATATTACCTTTTACAAGTATATACAGTGTTTTGGTGATTTTTTTTTTCTTCCCTATTTATTGTTCAACTGACTTATTAGATCGCAACCCGCAGCCCGCAACCCGCAGCCCGCAACCCGCAACCAGCAAAATATACACACTCCCCTTTTAATAGGATATTGTTATGATGTAACTGTAACTTTCAGATGTCAGTTTAATCTGCTATAAATTCTCAATTCCTCAATGGAAAAATGGTAACTTTAATGAACCAGGAACAAGTAGTTCCCAACAAAAAATAACCTAAATTAATGAAATATTATCATATTAATTATAAACGCAACATACCTCAATAGTTAATATTTTATTGCTTGTATTATCAAATAAACTATTCAGTTTTATCTGTACCTGTATCGTTAGCGGTGAAAAGTCTTGAATATTATTTCTTAAGTCTACAATATAAGTTGAGTCGGTTATAAAATCATGAAATTAGACTTCCCACAAAGGCAAGATGGATGCCTGCTGAGTCCAGGCCCAGGCCAGGTTTTTGAAAAACAACAAACAGCAGAGTAACCTAAATTTTGTATCCACTTTAATTACTTTGAAACTATTTACATAAACTACCAAGTAAATATATGCCTGTATCAAGTATAAATCCCTGTTATACGATGAAAATTGAGCAAATTCTCTCCGTCGTGACCTCAGACAGAAAAAAAATCCTTCTTCCCTCACTTTGGGAGTATTTTCGTATTGTTTAAATACGACAGTGTATTCATAATTATAATGTCGAGTGATTTAAAAAAAATCTGATCTTATAGATTCAACAGTACGCTCTTGTTATTGTGTGTGACTGCCTCGGTGGTCTTGTCTTCGCCTCGAGTGGGGGAGGTTGTGGGTTCGAATCTCGGCCGGGTCGAGTAAGAGCAAAGACTGTTGGCTTGGAGTCGGAATAATGTGTCCGGTTAAGGTGACATGTCTTCCTTGTGAACACATTAAAAATCCTGCTCAGCGTGTCAGTCTAGTAAAAAGCAGGGTTAATAGTCATATTACATTAACATGTTCTTGTCCTGAAATTATAAGCATATTAATTTGCCGCTGGACGGTAAGCAGCCATCCATCATCATCTTGTTGTTATTGTGAAAATACATGACTGGTACCGGCGGGATAATTTCTCTGGATCTAAATTCAGTGCTCTGTGCTAGTCCAACGGAGTTGAATAAAAAAGTGTCCTTTACCACACAAAAATTATAATTTAAGTTAAAGAATATGTCTAATCCACTACACAATAAGGGCGTGTTTTTTTGTTCTTCAGTAGTGAGCCAGAAGAGGTCCATTTCTATTTTTTTGCATTGGGAAGATCTTCTGTTCCTCTCCTATCTCTTCTTTTTAAATAGGTGGTTTAGACGGCAGAGGCATATAACAAACATGGCGTCGTTTAATAGTCTAAATGACATTAATAAATTTATGAATTCAGATGTAATAGAATGTGTGCTGTGTGATTAAAGTTTTTATGGTATTGCAGCCTTAGAACATCCCTGTTGGGACGATAACCTGGATAAATATAAAAACTACATGAACAATCAAAGTAAGGGGACGACTATTTTATATTCTGGGGAAGGGGGAGGGAGCAGGATAATTTTTTTTGCGGATTTATTATACATGTCCCTAAGCTTGCCATGCCTATTTTCAGCTTTCACTAGGCCTCCATATTCCTTTTCAAAATCCTCATGTCCCCCACCCCCACCAAAAAAAAAAATAGCAAATGGTTTTCTCCTTATTCAACATGAGTTTAAAATGATTGGTAGTTTGTTGCTGAATTTTAACGTCCAGTGACAGATATTTCATGCATTTTCTGGAAAAACATGAGTCTAAAAGTCAGGTATATAATATAAAAATAAGGAGATGTGGTATGATTGCCAATGAGAAAACTATCCATTGGAGTTCAAATTAAGGGGATATAAGGAATTATAGGTAACCATATGGCCGTCAACCATGACAAAACTCCATACCGTATAGTCGGCTATTAAAGGCCCCGACATGAAAAATGTAAAATAATTGAATCGAAAAAACTAACGGCCTTATTATATATAACGAAAAACAATTTACAAATATAAATTATGAGGCAACACACATAAACCAACGACAACCACTGAACTACATGTTCCTGACTTGGCACAGGCACATTAAGAATATGGCAGGGTTAAACATGTTTATGATCGATCAATTCTTCCCTAAACTGGGACAGTGGTGTAACTGTACAACATAAGAACAAAGTCAAACTGTAAAAATCAGTTGCAATAGTAATAACTGAAAAGATAAGAGACACAAATAAATAAAACCCAACTAACATTATGACAATAGAGACAAAGCACCGAAATAAGAGTATTTTCAGTTTCTGAAAGTTTGTTCAAAGCCAATTACAACTAACAAATAAATCTTGTTCCCCATACTAAAGTATCAATCATTACACAATCAACAGATTTAGTAATAAACAGTATGAGAAACGCAATGACCATGTATACCTTGTATACATATACAATCAAAAAGTCGTGGTCCGAAGGTTTTGACCATCGAAATTTTGCAATAGAAATAATAGTTAGGACCATCAGATTTTCTACAAGGGCCACCAGGGAAAAAGATTTTGAGAACTCTGCAATATCTTTTATATATGCAAAAATAATCCAGTTCTTTACTTTAAAAAATTTAATAGACAAGATGTCCAAACAAACATTGAAAAATTCTTGTACAGTTTAAGATTATGACCTAAAAATCACATGGTCGGCGCTTCAAGTCAGATTTTAGTTAGTAAAGTATAAAGAAAAAATTTCACGAACACAGCGATTTCTTCCAACCAATTTTGTTTGTTTTTACACTTATTGTATAATTACACCAATGCTGAAACATAGCACACTATTACAATCATGTCTACTGAATAAATTGAAGTATCTTAATTTTCTAATAAATTATCGTAAACTTCATTTATGTCATCCAACATAAAAAAAATCTGATATATTCGACGGCAAATAGATTTTTTGTTTTATTGCTTCTTCTACAGAATATCTCCAGAAGAGGTCCAGATTCATTTTTTTGGACTCTTCACCAGAAGACGTTCTGGAAATGTACAGAAGAGATCAATGAAACACGCCCTAGTATATTAAAAAAAATGACTTCTTCTGTTGCGCCACCGTTATATACAATTAATAAATAATTTCACAATAAAAAGATAAAATTATCTTTGATTGTAACCCGTATGCACCCATAAAATAACCAACATTTATTATTGGTCAATACAGTCTGCTCAAATGTCTACTTGATTGATTGAAACTGATGATACCTGTGGAGGTTCCCACCTTGATCATCAGCATACTGTCAAAATAAGCTTTAACTTTACTTATCAACATGATAGACTGTTTTTTCTTGTCACATTTTTGTTGTTTGAATAGCAGTTCATACCTCTTCATATGCAGATTGTTATTTAGTTGTCTACACATGTACACTCCTTCTAGCCAGTCCAGCAATACTTTGATTAAGATCACTATTTTGTTTATCTATAGCATAATAGAAAGGATTAACTATTAGCTGAACTAAGTCTATATCATCTCCAAAGCAAGATTTTGCTAAAAGTTCACTACCTCTATCGACTATTATCTCAGTCAATCTTTTCCTGTCTGTTTCCAGTGATTTACATGCCAGTAGAAAATGTGATAAAATTTCCGGACTCTTGTTACATAGCTTACATGTTGGACTGACTTTTTTTATTGAATGCAGCTCAATTAGATTGAAAGATATGTGTTCCTGTTGTAATTTTGATTCTTGTAGGAATCCTTACAATGTCTCTATTGTTTGCTGTCAGTGGGTGTATTTTGCTGATGTTATATTGACAATTCATATATTGGAGAGTTGAGAACATCTTTGAGTCATCAAGAATCTTGTTGGTCCAGTAAATTTGCACTTTATTGTTTATAAAGGATTTCCATTTTGTTTTTGTTGGCAGATCGTCGAAAAAGTTTTCTATATTTTCTATCTTTAATATATAGTAAACAGAGCATTTTAATTTCAATGAACCAACTATTACTATTGAAGGATTTTGGTTTAAGCTGCCTTTCTGCTATTCTCCATTCATTTGAGTCCAATCCGGAAAAAACAGTCACTTAGACAACTTCCTGTTAAGGGTCAAGTGGTTCAAAAAAAAAAGTCATCAGTAATGAGCTGAGGAGGAAAACGTGTAGAAAGTGAACATTTTGAAATTTGTCTTGTTTGTATAGTTTATGATCCAATTTTATAAACACAAATTAAAGTAATTTGCATTGTTTGATTTTGATTTTTGGTGTTTTAACGCCTCTTTTAAGCACCGCTTTTGGGCTATTTCGTGGCGGCCAGTTTTATTGGTGGAGGAAGCCGGAGTGCCCGGAGAAAACCACAGCCTTTGATAGGAAAACTGACAATCCTAGTCAATTAAGATTGGAGTCGAGTGCACCTGCATGAGCGGGTTTCGAACTCACAACCTCAGTGTTGACTGGCTAGTGATTACAGTAGTAACTACTTAGACCACTCGGCCACCGAGGCCCCCTGCATTGTTTGAAGTGTTTACAACAGTTTTAGCATAACTCTTTGAATTTTTTTATGCACAGTACATTGTTTAAACAGGGCCCCAGATACATGTAGCTTCAACTGGTTTGAAAGAGTTGTGTAATTTCAGAACTTATCCGGAATGGAATAAATAGCAATAAGGTGTTTTATAACATCTTGAAAGGCTGTTTAAATTTTTTTGCTGTCACACCTTCCTACAATGTATAATGCTGAAGCCGTTTTTTTCAGTTGGACTTTGAGAAAGAATTTTCCTCTCAACTTTGAGACCCAATTTTCCCATGAAATCTTCACTGACGACTAGAAATGTTTGCATACATACTAATTCTTACCTTTTTGTGTGCTTGTTGGTTCCAAATATTTTCAAAAATATCCCGGTAAGTTACAATTCCATTCAAGATATCAATGACTTACTGATTTTTAAAAATGGTTTCCCAGATTTCCCAAGATCTTTCACTTTTGGAGAGTTTAGACCAATTTCGAATTCGTTCACTTTCCTGTAAATTTCCTATGAAACAATGCAATCACAGTAAGAACCAATTGTTGGATGACATCTTTTACGCTAATTGACCTCAGGTCAACCACCAAACTCTAAAATTTGATGGACCCAAATTTCCAGAACTTCCATTTTATATTTTTGGAAGTTTTAATATTGGTAAGTGATAAATGTACTTTATTTTAATTTTTATTTCAGGTACATTTACATATAAGTAATGGCATCACAAGAAAACAAAGATGATTGTCCTCAAGAGACTGTAGATATTCCACCACCTATACCATCAGTCACAGAACCCCAGAAACAGATAGCCAGCCAAGCTCTACAGGAATTTGAAAAGAAGAACTATGGTGCTTGTTGTAATCTTACACACAAACTTTTTGTTGAACGTTCAATGGATCCTAAAGTGGTTCACAACAAAGCAGTAGCAGAATTTTATCAAAGTGGATTCTTGACTACAGATGAATTTAGACAGAGCCTTGATAAAGTTTGCCAGATGGTATAATTTTAATTCCAAACAGTTTTCATGTTAATTAAAAGTGTTGTGTTGTTGGGTATTGCCATTGCTGTCTCTTGCAAGCCTGTTTGCCTTGAGTGGAAGAGTTTGTATGTTTGACTTCTGGCCAGGTCAATCCAAAGACTTGAAACTTGGTATTTGCTTTTCCACTAAGCTTGCAGCATTTAGGAGATAAAAAGTCTGTTTTGTTCAAGAGTCAAAAGGATGTGTATTGGTAGGTGGCAAGTCTTCCTGCATGTCCTGCTGAACTTAGCCCATTAAGAATTGGGTTTAGTGAGTTGGAAGTACATGCAATGTTGTATTTTAATCATACAATATGTTATTGTTCAGAGGAATATTACAGCTGTAGCATCTTTCAATAAGGATATCAAAGGAATTTATTTGGCAAATATTTCCCTGTTTTCAAACTGCTAAAAAGCATTAAGTTTTTTTAATTTAAATTGTGGCAGGTACTGCATATTGTATTTTGATTAAGGCAATCAGTAATGAAATCTGTCAGTTAGTCCCTTCTGCGATGAAAATTATGGTGAAATAAATGAGTGTTGGACCTCAAAGTCTGACTAGTTTAAGGATATTATACAAAAAAATATTAATTATTGGCTGATAAGGAATTGTGCTGAAAAATTTGTTAACGCTACATGATCAGTTATTACTTTTTCTACATCCTGGTCTTTCTAGTAATCACATGGGCAGTTATTTCCGAAGCATTTTGTAAATATCACTGAGGAACACAGTTATGGGTGTCTTGATGATAATATACTGCTATATCATAACTTGATAATAATATTATACTTCAATTTTTATTTGACCAGGCTAACATCAGTATGGATAACAGTGACAGTTTAGAAGATGTAGATCATAGTGTATTGTACTTTAACCAAGCGGTTATATTTTACCATCTCAGACAGTATAAAGCTGCCACTAAAGTCCTAGACAAACTCTTCCAGTTTATAGAACCTATAGGTATTATTACACTTAGATAAAGTCCAAGTTGTGTGGGTAATATATATGAACCACTTTCTGTGCAAGCAGTTTCCAACTCATGTGTTTTGAATGATTTGAAAGGTATAAATGTACTTGATAAAATTGTTGCTCACCTCCAAAGGGTGTGTATCCTCTGACATGTATAGTTAATAACAAAATTATTTGAGTTCATTGAACCAGTAAGGGGCCTCGTTCCAATCTTAATTGACTAGTGTTGTCAGTTTTCCTACCAAAGGTTGATGGTTCTCTCTGGGAACTTTGTCTTCCACCACCAATATAAACTGACTGCCATGAAATAGCGCAATTGTGCTGAAAGTGCTGTTAAACAGCAAACAATCAATTGAACCAGTAATTTGAATAAAACAGAAGTCTCCTATATGATTTGAGCCTCTTACAACTTAATTCCTAAAAAGTTAGTCATTCAAGTTTTGTGAGGTTATTCTTTCCTCTAAACATATGCCTATATTTTAAAGTAGACTTTAGCTTTAAATTTCTTCATTTTGAAGTGTTCCCACAAATAGCTGGATTTTTGTTTTGATTATTTTAAGTTCATTAAAAAGTAATCATCCAGCTGTTCTCTTGATTTCTTTCCTGATCCAACTATTTGCATAAAACTGAATTTAATAAAAAAAAGATATATAGATTATTGACACATTTGGCATTGTATGAAAGGATTTTCATTTAAGTTTGTCACTCACAAAAACCAGCATTTCAGCACTTGCATTTCCATTTTTGTCGAGTCTGCAACATTTATGTTGCGAAAGTGAGTGATTGCAATCCTAGATTCCATCATCGTCAACATTCAGGTTCAGTCAGTGTTTTTTTTTTAGACATCAATAACTTGTCAAACCTTCATGGAATTATATGAAATTTAGACAGAAGCTTGTTTATGACCAAAATAAAGTATTCAGAGAAAAATTTGAAAATTTTTGTTTTCATTTTTTCCGTATTTTACTGATAAATGACTAGTTTCTTTTCCAGTTAATATTCAGATTCAGTCTGAGGTTAAAGTTTTTCAGTCATCAATAACTTTGTCAAATCTGATCGTCTGTCCGTCCGTTCATCCGTCTGTCCCTCTTCAGGTTAAAGTTTTTGGTCACTTCAGTTTAAAGTTTTTGGTCAAGGTAGTTTTTGATGAAGTTGAAGTCCAATCAACTTGAAACTTAGTACACATGTTCCCTATGATATGATCTTTCTACTTTTAATGTCGAATAAGAGTTTTGACCCCAATTTCACAGTCCACTGAACATAGAAAATGATAGTGGGAGTGGGGCATCCATGTACTAAGGACACATTCTGGTTATGACCAAAAGACAGTATCCAGAGCGAAATTTTGAAAATATTTTTTTTTTTTTTAATTTTCTGTATTTTACTGATAAATGGACTTAGTTTTTTTTACAGATAACATTTGGGCTCAGTCTGAGTTTAAAGCTGTCAATCAACAATAACTTTGTCAAACCTTCATGGAATTTTTTGAAATTTGGACAGAAGCTTGATAATGACCAAAATACAGTATCCAGATCAAAATTTAGAAATATTTATTTTCTTTTTCCGTATTTTACTGATAAATGGACTTAAGTGTTTTTTTTTTTTATAGTTTACAAGTAGATACAGTCTTGGGTTAAAGTTTGTTACACCTCAATTACTTTGTCAAACCTTCATAGAATTTTATGAAACTTTGGTTTAAGCTTTTTTATGATTAAGAGATAAATATATTATTTTCATTTTCAGTATTTTTCTGAAAGATGGACTTAGTTTTTTACAGTTAATATTTACAGACAGTCTGGGATACATTATGAAACTTGGACACAAGCTAATCTTCAAGACCAAGAAATAGCATTTAAATTTTTTTTTTAAAATTCTGTATTTTACTGATAAACGGACTTACTTTTTAAGTCAATATTACACTTTTACACTGACAGCAGCAATCACAGGCAAGACACAGGGTCCTGCGGAATCTCTTATGAATTCTAATTAACATACATGTACTTAATGAAGAGACTTAAATGTATTATACTCATCCAAATGAATAACTTTCCATTTTGAACTTTTAAGTTTGCCTGAACAAGTTTGAGGAAGGGGCCAAATTTCAAATATTCATTCCCGTCAACAACCATTTCACAGAATCTACTGTACCATAAGATTACAGTCACATGATCAATATTTCGTGGATCGATGGTTTTGATATAGTTGTTAAAACTCATTGAGTTAACATTCAAATTCAATTCTCAGATACTAAGTGTCTTACACCCACATAAATTGGCGTAAGGATGTATCTCAGAATGTATAGAAGCCTTCAACAATTGGTCTGTCACTGTCACTTAAATTCACTTAAAGTCTTTGATTCACTAACTTTTATTTAGTTTATTATTTGAGTTCATTTTCAGTATAGTATGTGGTGTAAAAATGCATATAAGACAGTATAGTGACCTTCCATGAAAAGAAGTCACTGTAACATGTATGTTTATTCCATTTTGATAACTGTTATGATCATCTGTTATCAATTATATTGTTTATCAAGCTTGAGGACAAGTTGTACTTAGTTATAGTAGATTACTTATGATTTTACAGGTCAAATGCTTATGTATTATAAACTAAATGTCTATTTTTTTTCATTTCAGAAGAAAATTTGGCAAAGAAGGCAATAATGTTACTTGTTGAATTATATCTGTGTACTTTTCAAGTAAGTCAGAATTCTAAAATTTAAACACATTGGTTTATGAAAAGATCAATGTACTAATCTCCTACAAATCAAAATGAGCTCACTCTTAGCAAAGTTCTCAGAAACCATTAGATAGTTCACAGAGTATAGACAGTATTTAAAGTATCACTAAAGTTGATAAATATTACTGCATTGTAAAAACAGCTTGTGTATATTGGTCATATACATGATATAAAGCAAACATTAGAAATAGACAAACTTTATTTTCTTCATCCAGATTTGAAGAAAACAAAGCAGTGGTTAATACTCTTCCAGCCAGAATATCAATTTATATTTTAATAGTTTAATGATACAGTATGATAATACCACTTGTACTCTAGTCAAAACATAACTTCCTTAAAATAGTTTTGTCTGAAAGTAAGCTATGATATTTTTCAGCATATGAAGGAAAAATGGAAGTTTTGTGAAACCAGAGTTGAATGTTTTCTGGTAATATTTAGACATTCAGGAACTTCTTTTTAGTATAATATTGGGATGTCAATCTTCTTCAAAATGTATTTAGTCTGAAACTTCATTTCTTTTTTATACAGCCAGAGAAAGCCATGGGAATGTTAAGTTATGCAGAGAAGAATGTATTTAATACTGGTAAATCTGGGGGAGAGAAAGAAGGAAAGGATAAAGAAGATAACATGGCTGATGACCCATTAAAAACTAAACTTAGTCTGGTAAGATGTCTTGTCAACTTAATTTGATGAATCATTTTTGTCTCACCTGCGAGGAAAGTTATGGAAGGGCGGGACATAGGTTTTGCTTTTCCGGCATTGGCGATGTCAACAATTGTTGTTAAGTTTAATGCTTAATTCAGTTTGATAGGAACTTCTTGTAATAGATCAATGATATTTTCTATAAAAGTGCATTAATATCGGTACATATCAGTTTGTCAACTATTTCCAGGCCCTGCCCCTGTAGGTCATGGTCCAGTGACTTTCAATTAGTTACCAGTTTTCAATGTAAATTTTTTTGCTTAAGTTAGTTTGATAAGAAGTAGTTATGATAAACGATGATATTTTCTTTGAAGTTGCATTAATTTTTCAAAATTTTCTGCCGACAGGTGAGACATATCTCTGTGTCAATATTTTATGATTTTATTTTATTCCTTTTTTAGATGCTAGACTTTATTTGGTATTTAGGGCAAATAGATTAAAAGCGTGGACATCAAAGATAATGTATATGCTGTCTTAATGTATTTGCTAAGTTTCTATTGTCATTCACAAAAAGAAGGAAGTTTAGAAGATGTATTTTCTATTGAATTTTTTCCTTTGTGTCTTTAAAATTTACAGTTCCAAAATTGCATGAAGATGCCATTCCATATGCTTACATGAAATAGATTATATCTACTATATAATTTTTTGATCCAGTTTTAACATTGTCTCTAATATATGTTTCAATATATATACATCATGAATGTAATTTGTGTTTTTTTTTATTTCAGTACAAAACAAGATGTTTACTAATGATGAAATCAATGAAGTCTAGTAAAAGAGAAATTAAAGCATTAATTACAGCTCATCCTATGGTAATAAGACTGCATGTTAATATTATATAGCCTTATCAACTGTTTTATTTTTTTTTCATATTTCAGTCAATGTATTGGCAGAAACAGTTTTGTTATTCTGTAATATGGTTGGAAATTTACTTGAATTGTTTTACTGTTATCTGATGAAAATATAACCTACAAAAAGGGAGATTACTGATATTTACTCAAAATAATTTTTTGGTCCTACAATAGTCAAATCCATGAACTTGATATTCATCTCATTATAAACAAAAGAAAACATCGGGTTTAAAGAATAAAACTGTCTCAAGAATGCACAAAAGGAAAAATTAAAGAAAAATCCCATGTTTTCACATGTCTCTGCCACTGTACTGAAAGAGCCATTAAACATCAATCAACCACATCATTTTCCCTAACATTTAAGCTATGTTTGAGCAAGTTACTGATTTTTTTTAATGTATGTTGAGAATGCATGCCAACTTAAACTCAGTGGTAGCTAAATACATTTTCATTGACTTTAAACATTATTTTTCCATTTTCTAATTAGTCCTCGTCACAACTGTATGTCCGTACTCAAAGACATAGATAAACTAACTACTGCTGAGAAAACATGACAATCCAGAATTTGTTCGTCATTGGTAACCAAAAATTCTAAAATATAATTATTCCCCTTTTGCCACCAAGCCATAACTCTAAAGGCTATATTATACAATAAATGAATGATTATTTTTAGCAGCATTGATTATTATTTACACATTATAACCGTAGGCAACACTTTTGTCTTATTTTTTGTTGGATTCCTAATTTAATAGTAGTTTCACAGTATTTTCTTGTTTTATTTAGTTTTAACATTTTAATGACTAGATAGTTCATATGAATATACAAATATAAAGATTCAGTAAATGGGTATAAACACAAAAATTAAAAGATAAAGCAACAGAAACATATAACAAGTAAGCATTAAAGAATAAGGACACAATACTTCAACCTGAAGGTCTTAAATCATTTACCAATAATTATTGGGGAATATGAACTAACAGGAGAATAAAATCAAATGATGAAGAAGACAGAATGGAAACTGGTTAAAAACTATATGATATAATGGTTGCTTTTTGTAAACATACATTTAAGAATAAAAAATTCGTAAGGGTTCCGCAGAACCCAGTGTCTCGCCTACTTTTGCTGTTAATCGCAGACTCAACAAAAATGAGGAAAAAAATTAATACAAATATTCCTCTCTATACTATCTTTTGATTGTAAGTAGCTTCTGTCCAAGTTTGGTAAAAATCCAGGATAGTTTATGAATCTAATAAATGTTTTAAAAACTTAAACTGCAGAATGTATGTAATGTTGACTGGAAGAAAAACTAAGTCCATTTATAAGTAAAATACGGAAAAAACGGAACAAAATTTTATCAAAATTTCCCTCTAGATACTAGCTTTTGATCATAAACGGTTCTGTCCAAGTGTGATACAAATCCAGGATAGTTTAAGAAAGTTGTTAAAATTTTAAAAACTTTAACCACAGAGTGAATGTAATGTTAACTGGCAGAAAAACTAAGTCCATTTATAAGTAAAATACGGAAAAAATGGATTTTTTTTTTTACAAAATTTACTTTTGAATATAATCTTATGATCATAAACAAACTTCTGTCCAAGTTTGGTAGAAATCCAGGATAGTTTAAGAAAGTTATTAAAATTTAAAAAACTTTAACCACGGAGTCAATATTTGTGGACGCCGACGACGACGGCGACGGAATGTAGGATCGCTATGTCTCGCTTTTTCGACAAAAGTCGAAGGCTCGACAAAAAAGGACAAATGAGACCACCTGTTAGTTGTAAAATCACATTGCAAGATAAAAAAAAGCCTATTTCTACTTTGCATACATTTTCAATTGCAGAATTTATCAGTGCTCTATCTAAAGAGTAATTTCGAGTACATGAGAAGTAATCACAGGAAAGCCATGAAGATGATGGGTATAGCACCTTCATCATCAACCTTATTTACAGAAGCAGGAGAATGTCTACCAGTCATGTACCATAATAACATGGGATGTATTCACTTCTATCTGAGGAAACATCATCTTGGAGCATTTTACTTCAGAAAGGCTATACAAGAAAATGAGAATGCTCTTAGAGATATAACTAGGGGGGCTGAACATAGTAAGTACAGAAAATGAGAATTCTTTTAGAGATATAACTACGGGGGCTGAACATAGTAAGTACAGAAAATGAGAATGCTCTTAGAGATTTAACTAGGGGGCTGAACATAGTAGAAAATGAGAATGCTCTTAGAGATATAACTAGGGGGCTGAACATAGTAAGTACAGAAAATGAGAATTCTTTTAGAGATATAACTAGGGGGCTGAACATAGTAAGTACAGAAAATGATAATGCTCTTAGAGATATAACTAGGGGGCTGAACATAGTAAGTACAGAAAATGAGAATGCTCTTGGAGATATAACTAGGGAGGCTGAACATAGTAAGTACAGAAAATGAGAATGCTCTTAGAGATATAACTAGGGGGCTGAACATAGTAAGTACAGAAAATGAGAATGCTCTTAGAGATATAACTAGGGGGCTGAACATAGTAGAAAATGAGAATGCTCTTGGGTATATAACTATTGGGGATGATCATAGTAAGTACAGAAAATGAGAATGCTCTTAGAGATATAAGTAGGGGGGCTGAACATAGTAAGTACACTTTCACCTTTGTGAATTAACCTTGAATTGAAGGGATTATTATGTAGAGTTAAACAGATTATGGCATAGGCTCATTGGCACTGTTAATTTGCATAATGCATGTTATATCTGGAGTTTGATCTTTCTTTCATCTTTTCCAAAAAGGATGTCATAATTTTGATGAACTTTTAAAAAGTAAGAGGTATTTGTTGACCCTTACCACCTTTAAATTTGGACAATAAATTAATAAAAAACTTAAAAGTTACTATTGAAATACTTGAATTTGGGGAAACTGATGTCGATTCATTTGTGCAAGGGTAATTGGATTTGTGGTTTTCATTGCACGTAACAAGTCAAAGGAAAATACAAATTTTATTTAGTATCAAAGGTTGGGATTTGATTAATTATGAAATCTGTGTAAAACAAAATATTTTCAGTCTACAAACATTATTGAATGAATGTAATATAATTAAATTATTTATGAACTTAATTAAAAATTTTATATGAAGATTCAAATAAAAAGTATCAATACTAGACATATATCATTGAAATAGTAGTTCCAAACTTTTTATTCACATAAGGTCAGAGGTTTTATTATTTCCAGGAGAACTGATGCCTTAGTTTTCATACTTTGTGATTTTAGTATATAATTCTGACATTTTGTGGTAAAATATCATATATGATATGAGGGTATGAATGCCCTTTATCGTCAAGCGTCAAAAATTCGTTTTTCGCTCCTGTTGGTGTCAAATGGCGTAAGATGTTTATCGTTAATGTTATTTTAACAAATATTTTACTGTCATTCGTCATGTGGGGTACCCAATTCCTACTGTCTGATATAGCTTATAGAATATGTTTTAACTTGTGTACTAAGTAATCCCATATTATTTGCAAATATTTCTCTTCAAAGTTCTGTTTAAACTAACCCAAAACTTTTTGATTTTAGATAAAAATTTATCAGGAAAGCCCTTACACAGTATTGGTATGAGTCGTCACTATGAACTGTTATATAATATGGGAATACAGATGTTGCATTGTGGGAAGCCTGTTGCAGCATTTGATTGTCTAGTTGAAGCTGTTCAGGTTTTCAGAACAAATCCTAGACTGTGGTTGAGATTGGCTGAGTGTTGTATAATGACAAACAGAGAAGTATGTTGTGTACAGGTTCATTATAAACCTCTGCAGTCATTTGCTTTTAAGTAAAACATACAGAATAATTAAATGTTATCATGATTTTTTCAGCCTTGAACAAATTTTTTTTATATTCACTGTATATTCAGAAATTAATGTGTGCTTTTATTATTGCAAATTACTGATTATTTTTAAAAATATGAGATCTAATTATCATAATATGATTGCAAAAAATTTGTGAAGGAAAGTCACAACTGAAATTAGGAATATGAGTTTTATTATTGCCAACCTGATATTTTCGCATTAATAAAAACATCGCAATAATTTCTAAATTTAGTTTCTATAATATTTGTTTCTTTATAGAAAATAAAATATTTTGATATTATTCACACAACAAAACTGTGAAATTTACATTTGATATATTGGTCTGCAGGTTGTTACACCAAAAAAAAATTAATTAATTAAAATTGAGAATAAAACTAATTAATTAGTGTTGGTGAATAAAATAATACGCCAAATTACTTTAGCTTCTCATAAAGAAGGAAACTGTTGTTGTTTATTGCAGAATAATGATGATGACAGAAAACTTGAAAAAAGGTTGGAAGTTATACAAGGGTCAGATGGATCTGGAATTCATCGTAAATTAAGATTAGGACCTGGTTTGAGAACTGATAGAGTAAGGTATGTGCTGAAGACAATGCTGATATAACATAAGATGGAAGGCATTTATTTATTAAACCAAAAACATGCAATTAAAATATTCCAGGAACAGACAACTATAGAAAGACTTACTATTACAATGAATTGGAAAACATCCTAAATATTTATGCCAGTTTTTCTTTAGTATGTTCATTTGTATTAAAATAAAATGGGACATACTCTAAAAATTAGCCACTGTTGAAGATGAATGTGCTAGTTCAGTTAACAGATAAAATCTATCTGTAGGCAAAAAAACTGTTTTATACCAACAGGTTTTATGTTTTAATAGAGAATTTCATACAATTTGATGATTATGGTATTTTCATTTTATTTACTAGTACTAATATCATCATACATGGTATATGAATGTTATAATAATCCCAAGTAAGTCATATTCTTTAGAAAAGAAAAAAACTACATAAAATAACTAACATAGTAGAACATATTGTATGTAAATGCAAAACAGTTCATTAAAAAGTATGTATCTTGTGAAATATGATACAAACTTTGTCATATCGAAACTTAATATTTTAAAATCAAATTCAGTCCAGGGACACCAGCTATTCCAGCATCAACATATGAGTTTGCAGCTTTGTGTTTACGTAATGCCTTGATGTTACTTCCTGAAGAAACACAGAAAAGTGATATACCAAATACAGATGATCAGGATGGCATGTATGTATTTACAGGAACAAGATAACACAATTTATATTAAGAGCAATACTTGTACACTAGCAAAACTTCTAAACCAGTTTGATTAGTCATGTAGAGAAGCTAATACTTGTTATAGTTTTGGAGCTACAGATTTTCTTGTTTGATAAAATTTGATACTTGATGATTCTTCTCTAAAGTACACATCAATCCAAACTTGCATTTTGCTAAGTATTCAAAGTTGTATCAGCATTTCCCTACAAACCCTAAAACATTGTCCTTTAACTATTATGGATAGCTTAGCGGCATCCATTTGGTTGTGTGAGATATAAAAATACATGGTCAGGTTAAGTTTGATTGAGATTTCTTGCACCAAGATGCATAGTTGTATTTTGTAATCCTAATTCCGTTGTTCAAAATCTTATTTGTCATGTACAACAACTGATGGAATAGGTTGGAGTGACTATGATTCAATTAAATATAGTTCAGATATTTAGCTCAATGATGCATAGCATGTTACAAAGTTGTCTAAATATACAGATCAATCAATGATTGAAGGTCAGAGATCACCATCTGCCATTGTTTTGTTGTTAACATCTTTCTGGTGCAAATGTGATAGACAGTATGGAGGACCATTAGGAACACTTATGCTCCTTATTTTGTAGATCAAATTATGTTATTCTTCCATAGAATAGATAAAATTGAACTAAGAAATAAAATTTTACCTGGAATGTCAAATAAATGGGGTTTTTATGTTTGTTTATAAACAGCAGTGTAATCATGACTTACAGATTGAGTTGTGTTTTTTACTGGTTGACCAACTTTTTACAGATTTATGAATTTAATTTTGAAAATTTCATGATATTGTACTTGTCTGTTTTTATACGACCGCAAAAAATTTTGCGGTCGTATATTGGTATCACGTCGTCTTCGTCCCAAGACATTTGGTTTCCAGACAATAACTTTAGTAAATGTAAATAGAAATCTATGAAATTTAAACACATGGTTTATAATCACAAAAGGAAGGTTGGGATTGATTTTGGGGGTTATAGTCCTAACAGTTTAGGAATTAGGGGCCAAAAAGGGGCCCAAATAAGCATTTTTATACGACAGCAAAATTTTTCTAGTTTTAGAATAATAATAACTTGTGTATAAGTTTTTCGATTGCTCTGAAATTGTACCACAATGTTTAATCCCACAAGTAGAAGATTGGGATTCATTTTAGGGGTTATGGGGCCAACAGTTTAGGAATTAAGGGGCAAAAAGGGGCAAAAAACAAGCATTTTTCTAGTTTCCAGACAATAACTTGTGTGTAAGTGTATGGATCTCTCTGACATTGTACCACAAGGTTCCATATAACAAAGGGAAGGCTGGGATTGAGTTTGGGGTTAATTGCCCCAAACATGTAGGAATAAGGGGCCAAAAAAGGGCCAAAAACAAGCATTTTTCTAGTTTCCAGACAATAACTTGTGTGTAAGTGAATGGATCTCTCTGAAATTGTACTACAAGGTTCCATACTACAAAGGAAAGGCTGGGATTGAGTTTTGGGGTTATTGCTCCAAGGGGGGTTTCAAAAAGTTGGAAGGGGGGGGGGGGATTTTTTTCCTGATTTTTTTTAAGGGATTCATATTTTTTTTTCAAAATTTTTAAAATTTCGAATTTTTGAAAAGTTTCAAGAAGAAATCTTCAATTGCACAGTATTGCGCAATGGATTTATAAGATCTTTGACCACATTTATTTTGTGTCAGAAACCTATATTATGTAAAAAATTTGATTACAATCCAAATTCAGACAGTATCAAGCTTGAATATTGTGTCCAAATTTGCCCCAACTGTTCAGGGTTCGACCTCTGCGGTCGTATCAGGCTGTGCTCAGCGAAGTATTTTATTTTAGTTTACAGACAATAACTTGTGGAACAGTGTATGGATCTCTCTGAAATTATACCACAAGTTCCCATACCACAAAGGGATGGTTAGGATTGGCTTTTGGAGGTTATGGCTCAAACCGTTTAGGAATTAGGGGCAAAAAAGGGGGAAAAACAAGTGTTTCCTGGTTAATGGACAATTAAAAAAAAGTACAATGTTATGTTTGGATTACCTCCCTTACACTGCTTTTAAATTATGTATAAAGAAATGTCGTATTGTCTTGAGGTGATTAGCTGTCAATATATTTTTAGAAGTTACTATTTAAAAATGCTGATTAAGGAATATTCATTTTAGCCATGATTATGTATGTCATTTTAAGACTTTTATGATGTATTTAAATGGGTAATTATGGTTGCAAACTCCATTGGAAATTTGAATTGAGATTATGACCATATCTGGAGGGAAAGAAAAAGAAATTGTGAGGGGGGGGGGACAATTTTTTCTCATTTCAGATTTCAGAAATTATAAAAAGAAAATTTCTTCAAATATTTTTTTTTTTTGCAAAAATAGAGGGGGGTCAATTCACAACAGCATAGTGTATTGCACAAAAGCAAAAAAAAAGGGGGGGGGGGGGTAAATTTTTTTTTTAGTGGGGAGGGGATCAATTCGCAACAGCATAGTGTATAATAATAATAATAATAATAAATTCTTTATTTAAAGAGGGTAAACTCAGTTAGTTACAATAAACTAATCTTCCCTGAGGCCCTCACATACAAATTACAATACAATCAAAAAACAGATATTTACACATAGTTAATTTACAGTCAATTAGTTCAATGTAATATTACTAACATGATAAGATATAAGGCTGTTCAAGATGTACATGTAGTCAAAAAATCAAATACAAATATAAATAAAAGAATATACAAATACATTGTAGAAAACATAATCTTATCAGGACTGTGTTAAGTACTTCTTTGTATTGCATAAAGGCAAAAAAAATAAATATAAATTCAAATCATATAACCAATTCTAAGTTCTTTGACTACAGTTATTCTGTTTCAGAAACCTATTATGTGTCAAATATTTAATAACAATCCATATTCAGACCTGTATCAAGCACAAATATTGTATCCATTTTTGCCCCAACTATTCAGGGTTGGACCTCTGCGGTCATATCCAGCTGCGCTCGGCGAAGCAATTTATTTTCTTTGTAATGCCTGCAGATCTTAAGCTGATTTTTCATACATTTGTGTTTAATGATGAAAAACAGTGTGCATTTTGTTCCAGTTTACTGACTTTTCATGATACTACAAGCTTCGGCATTCATATTGTACCAACATATCTTGTTTTATATACCAGGAAGATTATTACATTTTATTTTCCCTGTGCTTCAAAATATTTGAGCACCACCTCTGTAACAAGTAAAAACAAATGTTAAAAAGTACCAACAAATAAGATAGTATACAGATTTTTTAATTATGGAACAGGATGTCATCAGCACTGTTCAATATTCTTAGCTTAAGATTGATACCACAATGCAGGACAATAAATGTATATTGGTATTTCAGAAAACCAAACCCTGAGTCATTACTGGTTCCTGCTCCTCCTGGTAACCCTATGAAAAGTATTGAAGTTGCTAACCTCAGGTAATTCCTTAACATTAGATATGATTAAATAGGAAAGGTAATGCTGTTGCACAATGCTAAAAGCTCCTGATGATAATGTCTGACCTTTAAAGGTCCTTCCTGGAACTTGTTCAAAGGTAGAATGATGTGGTGGTAGTTTGATGCTCCATTTATAGTGTTTCTGGATAAATCTAAATATAAATGGTATCTGTAATTGATAATTTCCTGGTCATAAATTATCCATAATGAATTGTTATCTGCTTATAATATATCGGGTAATAATTTATCTAGGGGTTCGTTATTGATGCTAGTTATCTGGTAATGAGTTAAACTTAAATGCAGTGACCTATTCAAGAGGAGGTGTAGTAGAAGGCGTATTTGTATTGATTGGGAAAAAAAGATAATTTATTGATATGACAAAGATTTATTTGAAGAATTAATATAATAATGTGTGAAAATTTGAAAGGGAAATGTCATTGGTGTCATTGACCTGAGAACCAAAGAATTAATTTTGTGTAGCCTTTTATACTTTGTTTTCTGGATTGTTGAAAGTCAGAAAGATTTATTACATGAGACATAATTAATCAACCTTTGGTTTCTCAGAATTTCTCAAACTGATAAAAGCCAGTTTAAATGTTTTCAGCACTGGAAAAAATAAAAAAATAACCAATATAACAGTTAGATCTTTGAGAATAAGATATTGTTTCCCATTAAGTAGTGGTTAGTTACAATTGTATTACAATTAATGCATATATATTAATTGTCGAAATCCGGATATGGTGTACAAAAACCTTTGCACTTTTTGTTTGCGGTATAACATCTTTTCCGCAAGTTTATTGTTTTCTGTTTAGTATTAAATTTATATTTAAGATCCATTTATTACATCGGTGATCCGTTTATTTGGCAATCGCCAATGGCAGTCAGCAGGGTTTAAGAACATTTGTTGTTCGACCTGCTAGTCAAATGCGTTTTGTTAAAATATACTTTTTCACTCTTTTGGTCTTTTGGAAAATGTTGTTTGTGCTGTATTTAGACCCCTCTAACAAGAAATTTGTTTTGCATGCACACGTATAAAAATTGCGGTTTTTATCCAACGCAATCATAGGTTTGAACATTGTTTTCAATTTAGACTTGTTTATATTTTTTCGTTTGGGCTTGTATTATATTTGCCTTCGGGTTTATATGATCCGTTCATCCTATTTTGACTCCTTAAAATTCAAGAGTCTATCCTAAATTGAGGTAAATTGTATGGCTTTCCAAATACCGTTTCGATTCCTAACATCACTGAAGAGACATTAATTGTCGAAATCCGGATATGGTGTACAAAAACCTTTGCACTTTTTGTTTGCGGTATAACATCTTTTCCGCAAGTTTATTGTTTTCTGTTTAGTATTAAATTTATATTTAAGATCCATTTATTACATCGGTGATCCGTTTATTTGGCAATCGCCAATGGCAGTCAGCAGGGTTTAAGAACATTTGTTGTTCGACCTGCTAGTCAAATGCGTTTTGTTAAAATATACTTTTTCACTCTTTTGGTCTTTTGGAAAATGTTGTTTGTGCTGTATTTAGACCCCTCTAACAAGAAATTTGTTTTGCATGCACACGTATAAAAATTGCGGTTTTTATCCAACGCAATCATAGGTTTGAACGTTGTTTTCAATTTAGACTTGTTTATATTTTTTCGTTTGGGCTTGTATTATATTTGCCTTCGGGTTTATATGATCCGTTCATCCTATTTTGACTCCTCAAAATTCAAGAGTCTATCCTAAATTGAGGTAAATTGTATGGCTTTCCAAATACCGTTTCGATTCCTAACATCACTGAAGAGACATTAATTGTCGAAATCCGGATATGGTGTACAAAAACCTTTGCACTTTTTGTTTGCGGTATAACATCTTTTCCGCAAGTTTATTGTTTTCTGTTTAGTATTAAATTTATATTTAAGATCCATTTATTACATCGGTGATCCGTTTATTTGGCAATCGCCAATGGCAGTCAGCAGGGTTTAAGAACATTTGTTGTTCGACCTGCTAGTCAAATGCGTTTTGTTAAAATATACTTTTTCACTCTTTTGGTCTTTTGGAAAATGTTGTTTGTGCTGTATTTAGACCCCTCTAACAAGAAATTTGTTTTGCATGCACACGTATAAAAATTGCGGTTTTTATCCAACGCAATCATAGGTTTGAACGTTGTTTTCAATTTAGACTTGGTTGTATATATATATATGTATATGTATATTTTACATATTACAGGTGTTCAGTGTTGGCAGCTGCTGCATATGTAGGAATATGTTTGAATGATTTCACCATGGCATTACAACATGCTGAAAATCTTCTAAAGCAACCAAGACTGTCTGGAGCACAGAGGTACTTACATTACAAGTTGGCAACATATTAAGTTATATATGCAATCATTAGGCTTGCTGTTCTAATATTATACTATTTCTCTTTGAATACTGTTTAAGCTACTGACCATAGATACATTTTTTACTGGGTTTTCCAAGAGAAAAATCTGGTGAAGCGCCACAGCTGGCTGCCAACAGTGTTTGTGCAGTAACATATGAACCTTTCAATCATTGCATTTATAATTTAAATATGTTGTATCTAATGACAAAATGGAAGTGGTGTTTGGTATTGATGATTTTCAATATCAACATTCAGGAGTTATAGTCCTTGATATATAGGAAAATGGAACTTAATGTTGTTTCCATTCTATAACTTATAAACTGTTCCACCAATGTTTTTCAGATTTAAATATGTTGTTATCGATTACATAATGGAGTTCAAATTTATTATTGTTAGTTTTCACTTATACCATTCAGGAGTTATGGTCCTTAATAAATTGGAAAATAGGCACACAAGGAGGCATGCTGTCAGTTTGGCAGGTTATTTTTTGGTTTTCAACTTTAACCCAAAAATAATTTTCAATGATATTTAGAATAGAAACAATAATTGTTTTTTTTAAAACATTATGTATGCTATAAACCGTATTCTTATGTATGCTATAATCCGTATTCTTATGTATGCTATAATCTGTATTCTTATGTATGCTATAATCCGTATTCTCTACAGATATCTAGGTCATTTATATATGGCAGAAGCACTTGTAGCATTAGACAAAATAGCAGATGGTATACAGCACTTAAATCCTGAACTTGTCACAGATATCAACACATTACCACCGGAACCTAAATCTGATCAAGGTAAGACTTGGTTATTGATTTATACCCTGGACACTGAAATCCTGAACTTGTTACAGATATCAACACGTTACCACCGGAACCTAAATCTGATCAAGGTAAGAGTTGGTTATTGATTTATACCCTGGACACTGAAATCCTGAACTTGTTACAGATATCAACACATTACCACCGGAACCTAAATCTGATCAAGGTAAGACTTGGTTATTGATTTATACCCTGGACACTGAAATCCTGAACTTGTTACAGATATCAACACGTTACCACCGGAACCTAAATCTGATCAAGGTAAGAGTTGGTTATTGATTGATATCCTGGATTCTGCAGAGGGAGACCAGTGAAAAACATTAACACTTATCTTACAACAATACTTTATACCAGAAATAGTTCACCTATTATTTATAGATTAGAGAAAGTGGTCTAATCAGGAAAACTTAAAGCTAAATTGTTAGTATAATACTTCTAGTTTGTCTTTTTCCTATATATTTCCAACTAAATGATCATTATCTGTTTGAGTGATTTCCATGCTTGTTTAATGTAGATTCCCCTTGCAACGAAGTTTCTGAAGGTATAATGTTTTTGTCCCATCCGTAATCAGTCCATCCTTTATTTGCTGTTTCCAATTTAGCACATTTTTTTTTACAAATCTTCTTAAAATTTGTTGCAAACCATGGAAGAGTTAGATAATCAGGAAAACCTGAGATGGGAAACAATTTTTTTTCGGGGTTGGGGACTTGTAAAAATATTCCATATTAATTGTATGGGGAAGTGGGGTATGTGAGCTTGCTCCCTAAAGATTCTTTCCTTGGAAAATATAGAAATTGATAGAAGCAGTCGGCTTATTATGCATATATTGCCTTACCTGTCCATATAAGATCTTGGGGGTAAAGATTGCATGATTACTTGATATCTATATCTTCCAAGATTTATCACTACCTTTGATAGTTCAAACAAAATAGTGCAGTGATGTGATCATTCTTTAGATCCAATAAAGTCCATGTCATGCAATGTATTAATAATATGATATTCTTAGATATTCAAGTTACAATATGATATCATGTATTTGAAAAACTATACTTGTCAAAAAAACTTTTTTTTTATTAAAAATTACATACGTAATTAGTAATACATGGTGTCATGAACTAAGAAAGATAACTCTAACTCAAATTTATTATCTGCCTTGTTAAATATTATTTTAAATTCACAAAATTGCAACATGAAAGCAATCGTTACCCGTCACTGCTCTATTGCACTTTGATGTTTTATCACTACTAGTTTAACAAATACAGACCATTTACCACTTTTGATTTGATCATTTTTAAAAACACTGTTACAAAATTGAAATGGAATATTATATTCCTTTAATTTCAGATAAAAATGAAAAGAATGAGAAAACTGAGAAAGACAAAGGAGATAAAGACCAAGAAACAGAGGTCAAAGGTACAATCTAAGATTGAAATTTATTTTTGCAATGCGGCTTGGAATAGATGTTAACTTAAAAGAAAACATGTCCTATTTCTCCGAGAAGCAGAAATACTCATTTACAAGAGATTGAATTTCCATTATAAGTAAAATCAGACTAAGAAGTTTATGTATGGTGATAAGGAGTTTCATTCTTCAGGTTGAAAGTCACAGACTGTCATGTCCTTATTTGAATAGGTTAATTTTTTTGGGGGGATCTATTAAACAAAGCAATATTGTTTTTTATGCAAGCATGTCAAATTTATTTGTATAAAGGTCCATCAACATTTAAAGATAAAATTGTAAAATTTCCTTTCAGAAGAATGCATTGCCTTGTTCTGGAGTTTGATCTTAATGTTTATAACCTCAAAAATGTGTAATTTGTGAAAATTATAATATTGTTCAACTGGAAAATGAACAAAGAATTTTCACTGGAAGTGTCCAGAAAGATTTGTATGCTTTCAGTAGGAAAACATTATTTTTCTACTGTGTAAGTCTGTTTAACTATTGTTCAAGTTACAATAAGAATCAAGAAAGAAAGATGAAATTCAATTGAATTACTACAAGTTATTAGTTAGCATATTAGGAAATATTGATTTGAAGTCGGAGTATGGTATGCTGGAATTATTCTGATAAAGTATTATTTGGTTAACTAATTTCAAGCAAGTAAATAAGAGCATTAGACCTCAGACTAGTGATTTGAATTGATTTTTTGGTGTTTTAACTACAAAAATTATTTTCTTGTTTTGCCTTGACAGTGTCAGAAAGCAAGACTTAGGTATGCTATTTCCGTCGGCGGAATTGGCAGTGTCAACTATATATTAGTTTGTGATTAGGTCAGTTTATGGGGAACTACTAATAGTAGGTCAATGATATTTGGTATGCAGTTTTATAAGCATTGGCATTTCTAATTTCCATTGGGTTATTTGGTCCTTCACCATAAGTCATGGTTCATTGACTCAGAATATTTTGCATAGTTTACATGTTTAAATATTGCCATTTTAATTCAATATTTACATTATTTCTATCAAAATTACAAAAAGGCGAGACATATCTCTGTGTCAACAGTTTATTTGATAAGAAATGTATTGAATTTTTTGATGAAGTAGACTGACCACATAATCTATCAAGAGAGCATTGTTATTTTGCACAGCATGGTGCTGTTTTATTTCCAGCATTGTAGCATGTGAGAAAAGTAGAATTCTCCTAAAAATCTTACCACATCTCCATATTAGATTAATAAAAGATGGTAAAATAGTGTATGTTATGAGCATATCATGAAATCCTCTGGACTTATTCCAATTTCTGCTTTTAAGACATTCTCAGTGTAAATGGTAACATAACTTAATATATTTGCTATGTTTTTTAAGGTTCATTTTATCCATGGTCACCTCGTGACTTGACCAGAACTAAAGCCATAATGCAGTATAACCTTGCTATGTTTTTTAAGGTTCATTTTATCCATGGTCACCTCGTGATTTGACGAGAGCTAAAGCCATAATGCAGTATAACCTTGCCACAGCCCATGCTATCAGAGGAGAATATGATAAAGCCATGGCCAATCTTGTAGAGGTATGCTATAATCAAGTCGTATGATAAAACCATGGCTAATCTTGTAGAGATATGCTATAATTAAGTCGTATGATAAAGCCATGGCTAATCTTGTAGAGGTATGCTATAATCAAGTCAAATATGATAAAGCCATGGCCAATCTTGTAGAGGTATGCTATAGACAAGTCAAATATGATAAAGCCATGGCCAATCTTGTAGAAGTATGCTATAAACAAGTCAAATATGATAAAGCCATGGCCAATCTTATAGAGGTATGCTGTAAGTCAAATGTCATCTGTTTTACCTTTTTATGCCCCTGCAATTGAAAGTTGGGGGTCATATTGTTTTACCCCTGTCCGTCCGTCCATCTTTCTGTTCGTCCGTTCCATTATGGGCATATAGTTATTCCAGATAACTCCTCCTACAGTTTGAATGCTAGGAAGTTTTCACTTTGCTGGCTGTTTGTTCATATATTGAAGGTGTTCATGTGGCCAGGGTTTTGATTTTTGTCGAGCCTTTGACTTTAGTCGAAAAAGCGAGACATAGCGATCCTACATTCCGTCGTTGTCGTCGTCGTCGTCGTTGTCGTCGGCGGCGTCCACAAATATTCACTCTGTGGTTAAAGTTTTTGAAATTTAATAACTTTCTTAAACTATCCTGGATTTCTACCAAACTTGGACAGAAGCTTGTTTATGATCATAAGGTAGTATCCAGAAGTAAATTTTGTAAAAATAGAATTCCATTTTTTCCGTATTTTACTTATAAATGGACTTAGTTTTTCTGCCAGTAAATATTACATTCACTCTGTGGTTAAAGTTTTTAAAATTTTAATAACTTTCTTAAACTATCCTGGGTTTGTACCAAACTTGGACAGAAGCTTGTTTATGATCATAAGATAGTATCTAGAAGTAAATTTTGTAAAAAAATAAATCCATTTTTTCCTTATTTTACTTTTAAATGGACTTAGATTTTCTGCCAGGAAACAACACATTCACTCTGTGGTTAAAGTTTTTAAAATTTTAATAACTTTCTTATACTATTTTGGATTTGTACCAAACTTGGACAGAAGCTTGTTTATGATCAAAAGCTAGTATCTAGAAGGAAATTTTGTAAAAAAAATAAATCCATTTTTTCCGTATTTTACTTTTAAATGGACTTAGATTTTCTGCCAGGAAACAACATATTCACTCTGTGGTTAAAGTTTTTAAAATTTTAATAACTTTCTTATACTATTTTGGATTTGTACCAAACTTGGACAGAAGCTTGTTTATGATCAAATGCTAGTATCTAGAAGGAAATTTTGTTTTCTTCCAGTTAACATTACATTCAGTCTGCAGTTAAAGTTTTAAACAGTTATTTTAAATCATACACTATCCTGGAATTTTACCAAACTTGGACAGAAGCTTCTTACAATCAAAAGATAGTATCAAGAGGAATATTTTTATTGATTTACTTCCTCATTTTTGTTGAGTCTGCGATTAACAGAAAAAGTAGGCGATACACTGGGTTCCGCGGAACCCTTACGAATTTTTATTAATATTTGCCCTTTTGGGAGATAGCTGAACTTTGTCATTTTTTGGGGTATTTACTTTGCATAAGAGGTGCATAGTGTTTCCAGATAACTCCTCCTACAGTTTGAATGCTAGGAAGTTTTCACTTTGCTGGCTGTTTGTACATATATTGAAGGTGTGTATGTGGTCAGGGTTTTGATTTTTATTAATATTTGCTCTTTTGGGAGATAGTTGAACTTTGTCATTTTTGGAGTGTATACTTGCATAAGAGGTGCATAGCGTTTCAGAATAACTCCTCCTACAGTGAACCATAGATAGACGTATGTGATCTCATGCTCAACTTTGTGTATTTCAAAATAACACTTTGCATCTGCGGGGGCATCATTTGTGTCTCCCAGACACAATAATAACTTAAAGAAAGTCCTACATTGACTTTGTTATAATACAGTTACTTCAGAGTGGAGTGCGGGGGCATCACTTTGTCTAGTCTGTAATGAAATAAAGATATCTCTATATTTCAATTTAAAAAAACTAAATATGACATTATTAATACAAGCACATACTTTGAGCATGAACACCTGTCGGCAAAAGATTAACAGCTACATGACCATATGCTCTTTTTCTCTTACATTAATGGTCTTGTCTATGGAATTCCTGATTTTGACTTGTAACTAAGATGAAGAAAACTACCATTAAACAAAACCTAAAGCCAGAGTATTTTTGAGGACCTGATTTATCTGATAATTTTAATTATACTTAACTAATAAATGATTTAATACAGTTAAAGATGTAAATTTGCAAGTGTCAGAACATCTATAGGTGTAATACCACCAAATCATAGTACGTCACATCCGGTTGCATACGAAAATAGGTCGAAAAAAAATATTCCCTTCAATTTGACAGTTGTAGGTAATTGATCCTACATTTCATTGCAGTAAAACATTTCTGAGTCATAAACATATATCTTGGGTATTTCAAAGCACCATTATTTCTTTATTTGGGGTTTCTATAGAATATTTTGGAAACTTGAGGTTACATGGTTACTAAAGCTTGTACACAGGTTAAAAAAGGGGGAAAATTTGATTGGTTAACTTCCAGTGATGGTTATTTTCTTATATGCAATGAAATGTTATGTGAAATTTTTTCTATAGTACTGGACAGGATAAAACTTTACTCATGCCAAGTATTTCTTTATTTGAAACAAAGATAAATTCTGCACAATTTTTTGAAAAGTGCAAATTTAACAAAGACTAATAGGGGAAAATCAATGGTGGTATTACACCTAATATGGGAAGCTGTACATGCACCTTTGACCTTGTGAGTACTCTCATGTGTTAAAATTTCTTGCTATTTAAGTGAAATATTACAAATAATGAAATATTCTGAGTGGATTGAGTCTCCAAAATACATTTTATGAGAAAATTTCCTTGAAATAGGACTTTACCATGAATATTAGTTGACAGAACAAGCCATACTTAGAGTCTTGGGGAGCTTTTTCTCCTTATTTCTTATATTCTGCTATACTAGAAAATTTTTCCTAAGAAATACTTTAATAAATATATAGTTTTAAGTAAATGAAATTATTTTTAAAGCAGTAACAACAAATTATTCACCAAAAGAGAAGTTTTTTATGTCCCTCTCTGGAACGCGGCGTAAATTTAAGTTTTACGCAAGGACTTATTGAAACCTCCTTGGAGACAGTAAATTTTTATACGGATAGTTCAAGCAGCTTGAATACTTCAATTAATCATTTATAATAACATTTCTATCATAAATGAGTGAAAGTTACCCCAAAATTTTTATTTATTGGCCTAAAAAGTAGAAATTTTGAGGAAATGAGAGGTATGAATGGACCAAAAGAGACTTTATAAGGAAGAATAAGAGGTCCATTAGTAGTATTTATCATCCTAAAGTCATCTTTTGTATCATATTCAACTGTTTGTAGGCAGATGAGATAAATATTTGATCATTTATTGGTCCACACTATATTCTATCATGATGCGGCTTGGTTTGAATTTTTCGAAGAAATTTTGCTCGAATCGCTGTAGATGTCGTCTTACATTATACTAGATTTTTCTCAAACTATTGAACTGATTATGACAAAACTTGACAGGAATGCTTGAAATAACCAGTATTACAAAGGAAAAAAGTCACATTCAGTTTATTCAACAAAAAAGTCTTCTTTAGGTGTAATACCACCAAATCATAGTACGTCACATCCGGTTGCATACGAAAATAGGTCGAAAAAAAATATTCCCTTGAATTTGACAGTTGTAGGTAATTGATCCTACATTTCATTGCAGTAAAACATTTCTGAGTCATAAACATATATCTTGGGTATTTCAAAGCACCATTATTTCTTTATTTGGGGTTTCTATAGAATATTTTGGAAACTTGAGGTTACATGGTTACTAAAGCTTGTACACAGGTTAAAAAAGGGGGAAAATTTGATTGGTTAACTTCCAGTGATGGTTATTTTCTTATATGCAATGAAATGTTATGTGAAATTTTTTCTATAGTACTGGACAGGATAAAACTTTACTCATGCCAAGTATTTCTTTATTTGAAACAAAGATAAATTCTGCACAATTTTTTGAAAAGTGCAAATTTAACAAAGACTAATAGGAGAAAATCAATGGTGGTATTACACCTAATATGGGAAGCTGTACATGCACCTTTGACCTTGTGAGTACTCTCATGTGTTAAAATTTCTTGCTATTTAAGTGAAATATTACAAATAATGAAATATTCTGAGTGGATTGAGTCTCCAAAATACATTTTATGAGAAAATTTCCTTGAAATAGGACTTTACCATGAATATTAGTTGACAGAACAAGCCATACTTAGAGTCTTGGGGAGCTTTTTCTCCTTATTTCTTATATTCTGCTATACTAGAAAATTTTTCCTAAGAAATACTTTAATAAATATATAGTTTTAAGTAAATGAAATTATTTTTAAAGCAGTAACAACAAATTATTCACCAAAAGAGAAGTTTTTTATGTCCCTCTCTGGAACGCGGCGTAAATTTAAGTTTTACGCAAGGACTTATTGAAACCTCCTTGGAGACAGTAAACTTTTATACGGATAGTTCAAGCAGCTTGAATACTTCAATTAATCATTTATAATAACATTTCTATCATAAATGAGTGAAAGTTACCCCAAAATTTTTATTTATTGGCCTAAAAAGTAGAAATTTTGAGGAAATGAGAGGTATGAATGGACCAAAAGAGACTTTATAAGGAAGAATAAGAGGTCCATTAGTAGTATTTATCATCCTAAAGTCATCTTTTGTATCATATTCAACTGTTTGTAGGCAGATGAGATAAATATTTGATCATTTATTGGTCCACACTATATTCTATCATGATGCGGCTTGGTTTGAATTTTTCGAAGAAATTTTGCTCGAATCGCTGTAGATGTCGTCTTACATTGTACTAGATTTTTCTCAAACTATTGAACTGATTATGACAAAACTTGACAGGAATGCTTGAAATAACCAGTATTACAAAGGAAAAAAGTCACATTCAGTTTATTCAACAAAAAAGTCTTCTTTAGGTGTAATACCACCAAATCATAGTACGTCACATCCGGTTGCATACGAAAATAGGTCGAAAAAAAATATTCCCTTGAATTTGACAGTTGTAGGTAATTGATCCTACATTTCATTGCAGTAAAACATTTCTGAGTCATAAACATATATCTTGGGTATTTCAAAGCACCATTATTTCTTTATTTGGGGTTTCTATAGAATATTTTGGAAACTTGAGGTTACATGGTTACTAAAGCTTGTACACAGGTTAAAAAAGGGGGAAAATTTGATTGGTTAACTTCCAGTGATGGTTATTTTCTTATATGCAATGAAATGTTATGTGAAATTTTTTCTATAGTACTGGACAGGATAAAACTTTACTCATGCCAAGTATTTCTTTATTTGAAACAAAGATAAATTCTGCACAATTTTTTGAAAAGTGCAAATTTAACAAAGACTAATAGGGGAAAATCAATGGTGGTATTACACCTATATATATGGCCAAAAGACTACCCCTGGTAAGCAACTGAGGGGAGATTTATTCAGAACTCTTTTTCTGTTATGAATATATTTTTTAATAGTTTTATTTTAGAAATGTTAGTTCAACTAAGTACAACTACAAGTTATCAAATTATATAAAATAAGGTGATGTGGTATGATTGCCAATGAGACAACTATCCACCAAAGTTCAAATGAAGTGGATCTAAGCAATTATAGGCAACCGTACGGCCTTCAACAATGAGAAAAACCCATACTGTATAGTCGGCTATAAAAGGCCCCGACATGAAAAATATGAAACAATTCAATTGAGAAAACTAGTGGCCTAATTTATAACAAAATAATTTACAAAAAAACAAATATGACAGACATGAACCAATGACAATCACTGAACTACAGGCTCCTGACTTGGTACAGGCACATAAAAAATGTTGCGGGGTTAAATATGTTTGTGAGCGCTCAACCCTCCCCCTAACCTGGGACAGTGGTGTAACAGCACAACATAAGAACAAACTATAAGAATCAGTTGAAAAAGGCTTAACTCATCAGATCGATACAAACCAGAAAAACATCATACATAAATACAGACTGGACGTGGCAGGGTATTTTATTCATCCCTCATCCCTAACATCAAAAAAGACACTAAGTACAGATCTGAGAGTACTCACAATTACTGATAGCTAGTTCAAAAGCCAATAACAACTAATAAAAAAAATCATGTATCTAAAACTGAAATATCAATCAGTACACATCCAATGGATTTAGTGTAAAGACGTCATTAACAGTCAGAGAAAACATGACCTTGTGCAATGCCAAAATATAGGTATCGACAGATTGTAGTACTGTGAAAGTACATACGTGTATAACAATGATATTTAGTATTAGTTGTGCCATAGGAGCAATAACGTTACAGGCATATTTAAATGCAAAAAGTCTTTTACATTCAATAAAATATGTACTTGTGTGAATATGAGTCACATTTAAATAATCTTTTAAGGGTGTCTCCTATGCAGAACAAGGGATTAGGAAGTATAGGTCACAATTATATTTGATCTTTACTTGCATTATTTATTTATATACCTTTTTGAATTATTTGCTAAATTGAATGTTCTCCAAAATGTTTTTTTAAGAGTTCAAACTACATGGGTACGCCACTGCCAGCACAGATGTATTTCTTAAAATTGTATTTAGATCTGATTGAAGGTGAGTCTACATATAAAATACATAGCTGTCATGTGAAATTTTTCATTTCTACCTGAAAAAAACACACCTACAAATATTTGTTGCATGTATAAAGGTTGTTTGTAATGAAGAAGCTGATTCTTATCACATCTAAGAATCATCCCACCATTAGATTATGTTAAAATGTTAAAGAGGCTGGATGTTCTAAATTTAACAATACACGTCTGATTTGTTGCTGGTTTCCAAGTTCTATAGTCGTTTGCAAAAATATTGGGTGATAATTTGTTATTGATAGTTGTAATTTTGTCCAAGACTATCAGGATTCCTCTACAAATAATAAGACTATCATGAAAATAGAAATTGTATCAATATATAGTGTTGTGTTAATAATACTATGTTACTTTTAAAGGAACACCTGTTGGCAGGGGGTTGAATTCTATCAAAGTAACAAAAAAATTGTATTTTTTTAAAGTCTGTAAACACATGTTTTGTGCAACCATTGAAATTCATCTTAACTCCTGGGAAATTTAGCTTATGTCAAGCTTTTGGTGTTGAGGGTACATTGGAAGATAACTCTAAATACAATGTACATCTGTTGTGGTCGTTCATATGAGCATTCCATGATTACAATGTAAAGTTATTTTATTATTCAGAAGAAAAAAGATTTGTTGGGATATCCTATTGTCCCTTTCAGTTAAATATGTAATGTATGAATAATTGCTTTGTTAGATAAGTTAACCTTAAAAAACAGTTATAATGGTTATAAGTCAATAATTTAATTTTGGATGTAACACATCTCCTGATTGGCTAAAAGTTTTTTGTCTACCATGTCATAGACATAATTTTGTCAGGTGACTGTGACGTCATCAACGTTTTTTTCATGATTCCCTCCTTAAAAATGGAATTTAGAATTAAATTATAGGGAATGACTGTAATATTTTTTCTGTCTATTTGAAATAACAGAAAAATGTGGTGCACACTGTTAAATAACTCGCTACACAGATTATTCAGTATGCACCACATTTTTGATGTTATTTCTTCATAGACAGAAAAAATATTATAGTCATTCCTTAAATAACAAATGAACTGCATGGTAAGTGCTGTCAGATTTTTTATTTGTCACACGATTCACTTAAGATCTTCATGTTATTATCAGGATGAAGTTCAGCAATAAAAGTGTTATTTCTGTCATAATTATATTCTGTGAAATTCATTTATTTTGTTGGTACCAACATTCGTAAAATGAGGGAAAAAATGTTTTTATGGTAACTTGATTTTTGTCTCCCTTCAATGAAGTCGAGTCTTAAGCATGCTCTTTCAAGTGTCAACAAGTTTGTGATTAGTTCAGTTTAAATAGAACCACTTAAAGTATACAGTTGTATTAGCATTAGCTCACCTCTGACATTTCCATGGCAAATATTTGGCCTTGCCACCTCAGTTATGGTCTATTAAATGTGAAACGTTTGCCTAGTTTAGATGTTAAATTTTGTGATTAGGTCTCATTAAGGGAGCCGATTAATGGTAACACAATTATATTTGGTATGCAGTTATTTTAGCATTAGGAAATCTTGTTTCCATGGACATTATTTGGTCCTGTCCCTCAGTCATTGTTCATGAACTTTGAAACTTTTGCATAGTTTTTGATTAGGTCAATTTAAGGTGAACAACTGATGATAAGTCATGAGTATCCAACAAATAATAATGAATCCACAGTATTTGATTCTTTTATGTCCTTTTACATATTAATTAATACATGCTATTAATTGTTTTGTTTTACAGGAAGAAGAAAGTTGGCACAAATTGTGATTAAAGACCATTTTGGACATGTGACACCAAATCGTGAAAACAAAATGACATATAAATCTGGTACACCAAGACCTGACACAAGTGTTCCATGAATTTTATTTAACTAGGATAAATAAATGACAAAAACAATTTTACAATTTCCAGAAGGAATAAATGGTGCAATTTGTCTAAGTGAAGTAATGACCTTCATTATTTATTTGTTGCAAGACTCGTTTTCATCATAAATTTGTATCCTACAGAGCCTGGACAGTTTCTTTTTATTGATGATTACAGTAATAAATCTTACAATGACTGCCTTTGATATGAAGTCTTATTGCCTTGCTTCAGACAAAATGTTTAAATCATGACTCCTGATCTAAGTCCTACTGGAATAAAGTAGAAGGGGGAAACTTTTATTCTTATAACTTGGTATTTAAATTTTTGAGTAGCTCATTATGATGATTTGGATATTTATGAAAAACAGTTTTGACTTGCTTTAATTGAATCTTTTTAACACTAGTAATTCAGACAGCATGAATAATATTGGAACAAGTTATATGGCTTTGTGCATCTTTTTTAACCATGTCTAAGAATAGCTATGAGGGACCTGATGGGTTATTTTCGTTCTTCGTGATCGGCGCATTTTCGCTATCGTGATCCGTTTTTCTACAGATTTTTTTTTTTTTTATATTTTCGTGATCCGTGATCATGGTAATTAATTTTCTGTGAATCGTGATTGACAAAAAAATCAACTTGTGAATCGTGATGAGACCCCCCTATCAGCCTCCTCAGCTATGCGAAATAAGAAATAAATTATTAGGTAAATTTTCAATCAACTTCTTGTGGCTGTGCAAGAGTTTAGAAATCATACATAGATGTCAAGTACAATCAAAACATCAAGAAAAAAGAAAAACAACATATACAAAATGCAGTCTTACTGTAAATATTGAAGAATACAGTGTTATTTATTTATACTGCCCAATAATGGAAATGCAGCAATCCAACAACATATTAATATAATATAAAAAAGAAGATGTGGTATGATTGCCAATGAGACAACTCCCCACAAGAGACCAAATTCACAGATATTAACAACTATAGGTCACCATTCGGCCTTCAACAATGAGCAAAGCCCATTCTGCACAGTCAGCTATAAAAGGCCCCGAAATGACAATTTAAACAATTCAAACGAGAAAACTAACGGCCTAATTTATGTACAAAAAATGAACGAAAAACAAATATGTAACACATAAACAAACGACAACCACTGAATTACAGGCTCCTGACTTGGGACAGGCACATACATACAGAATGTGGCTGGGTTAAACTTGTTAGCGAGATCCCAACCCTCCCCCTAACCTGGGACAGTGGTGTAACAGTACAACATAAGAAAGAACTATAAAAATCAGTTGAAAGAGGCTTAACTCATCAGATGGAAAAAAATACAAATACTACAAATACAAGTGGACGTGGCCGGGTACTTGTACATCTAGGTTTGATGTTTTGGATCATTGCGATCACAGTCATCTGGAATATGAGCATCCACTGAAAGAATAAAAACCAAACTTTGTAAATGTGTTCTTTACAAGGTCCTTTCAAACCTTTTTCACTTTGGTGCTGATTCATAAAAAAACATTGACTTTTTTTTAAATTTAAGATTGGCTGAACTAAGGAAAATTTCTAAAGACATCTGCATCAATTGAAACAAAACTTGTCCGATGTGTTAAGTGGTGTTACTTTGGTGCCAAATAGAAGTTCAAAATGACTGCCTGTGGGGAGGTCAAACTTTACATTAAAACACTATTGGAACTTGCAATTGCTGGTAGATTTTCTCTTCATGAACAGATGAAGTGTTGTGAAAAACTTTGAAAAAACAAGCAGTAAAAGATACTTGCTAAGTGTTGTTACTTTTGTCCTGCTTAAAAGTCCAATGGCTTTAAGGGGGCAAATTGGGATCCAATCGGTCAAATTTTCAAGTATTTAACAATCACTAGCCCAACAGAAACCTGAATTTCTATATATGTCCATGTGAAGGTTCTATAATTATAGTATTTTGTGATCACTCCCATTCAGTTGTTGCTCTTACTTTAAAATGCAAAGTATTAAATGTTTGCAGATTTTTTGATATTTTTTTTCATCAGTGACTTTAATAGATTATTATTCTCCTACCGACGAAGTCAAAGGGGACTTTAGGTCTGTCTGTCCGTCAGTCTGGCAAATCTGTTTTCCTGACTTTTTTCTTCGTCCTTGAAGATATTGATTTGATATTTGGTGTATTGTTTTATCATGACAAGTTACAGATCAAGTTTGAACTTTGTTCTGGTCTGATGATTTTGTGCAGAGTTATGGTCCTTGGACTTAGAAAATTCACTCAAATAATCAGTTTTCCACGCTTTTTTTCCGTCATGCGTGAAGATATTGATTTGATAATTGGTATATAGTTTTATCATGACAAGTTACAGATCAAGATCGAATTTTGTCGCGGTCTGATTATTTTGTGCAGAGTTATGGTCCTTGGACATAGAAAATTCACTTAAATAATCAGTTTTCCACACTTTTTTTTCGTCATGCTTGAAGATATTGACTTGATATGTGTTATATAGTTTACACCATGACAAGTTATAGATCAATTCAGCATTTTGTTCCAGTACAATGAATTTTTAACCGGTAGGGGGACTATGTATTGTTATGCAATACTCTCAGAATGCTTGTTAAGATTGACTGACATTTGATAAGTAACTTATTGATTGTATTTTGCTTATTATTTGAAAATATAATGAACCAACAGAAATGTATACAGCCAAAATGATTAGATCTATAAAAGTGCAAAAATGCCATTGTGACTGAAACCGTCATTGACTCTGCATAGAAGTAATTGCCCGTAAATGATAGTGTTTAACAAAGTTTATCCTTTTTGCTTATCATCTTGAAAAAATCAATAAGATGGACAAAAATGCTAACAGCAAAGTATGATCAGCAATACATGATATACAATTGTTAAATTACAATAAGGTGAAAACAAAGTTCAATGGAAAGTCTCAAATTTAAGCATAAATGTTTTATTAATCAAATATCAACAAGGAAAATCATGTAACTAAAGCATAATATCAACCATTAAATTAAAAAAAAAATGTAAAAATACTTCTATGACTGAAACCATCAACTGACTCTTTATAGGAGTTACTGTTCTTTAATAATTGTTGACTTATTTTATGGTGTCATCTTGAAAACTATTGTACAGAGACAAACTGTTAACTGTAAAAATTATCATCTATACAAGATCTACAAAAACGATTTTATATGACTTAAAACATCAACTGACAACTTAAAGGAATTAATTCCTCTTAAATAAAGATTTTTGACTTGTGTTGTGATGTTATCTTGGAAACTATAACTGATAGACAAAACTAAACTGCAAAAATTATCAAGAATATAATACAATATCAATTGATAGAAAACACCAACTGCTTCCTTTTAGGAGTTATTGCACTGAAATTACAACTCTTTATTATTATTTAAAACAACTACATGTATACATGTATTAGGTAAAGAGAAACTTAACAGTATAAATGATATGCATGACCTACAGGATCTTCAAAATCTTCAAAAATGTCAATATGACTGAAATCATCAATATTGCCCTTAAATGATAATTTTTTTTAACCAACTTTAGCTTTACAAAACCTGTTATCTCTAAAATGAGACTGAAATTGAAAACAGCAGAATTATACATTAAGGCAATATAAAAAAACAAGTCATATGACCAAAAACTGTCAATTAACTGTTTATTTGGAGTTATTGCCCTTTAATGAGGATTTTTATAAACTTGATGTTTGGATATTATCTTGAAAACAATTATTGATAGAGAGAAACTGTAAACATGAAAATTGATAAACATGCATTTTGAGATCTACAAATAATTTCATTGGCTTTTAAGGGGCATTAGCTATGAGATATAAAAAAAATTAAATATGATTTCAATCATTAATGAAAGGGAAACAGTGATATAATAATTCGCTTTTAGCAAACAGTTTGGTTTAGTTTTGTCAAAATAAGCAAAGAAACATCGCTAATGAATTATTCACTTGAAAGTGAATAATTTTACCTAATTAAATCTGTATTCATGTGAACTTCAATTGAACATCTTAGCTAGAGATGGGTTACTCATGAACTAGGCGTTCAGCTATTAAAAAGAAAAGAATGTCAACATTGGAAGTGAAACAAGGGTAAACCATTTGGTTGACTGATTCGATTTACTAAACCTCAATCTTATACAGGTAGAAACAAGTATTAACATATTTTTTAAACCTATAATATGAAATCAAACAGACCTAGAAAATCCAACTGCATGAGTTCGCTATCTATTATATCTATGTTTATGTTTATATCGGGTTATATGACCGTAGGTAGTCTTTGGAGGTCACCTCGATGGTTAATTAAATGGCGTCTAGACTAAAATACACACAAAAAGCTGATACATATTATCGAGTGCGTTCATCGTAAATTGTTTATTTTTGACTTTTTATTATTTGGATATATGTTTTAGTATGTTATAAATCAAATATGAGAATTTGAGTCAAATCGGTGAATATGAATTTGACAGCTAATGCCCCTTTTATATTGTGGTGACAGTTTAGTGGAGTGCCATTGATTTGAGTAAGGTGGGTTAAGGATTGGAAAATTTGTGAGAGATAAAAAAATTAGAATAATGTGACCCTGGTAATGAAGAAAAAATAACTAATTTGCCTAGATTTTACGTGGATGCACAATGAGGTTTTGAACAGATTTTAAAAAATAAAAAAAATAGGCATATCATTGCTAGTTAAGCAATTTAGGTTCATAATGTGAATTAAAAGAGATGTGTGGAACCGTTTTCACCAATGAGACAGCAACCCGACGAATAATAACCAATTGACATCTAGAGGTCAACATACTGTGTTCAACAATAGACAAGACTAGTTGAAGGATTGTTAAATGTCTGTCTAGCAGGTTTCTTCTGACCTTGACCTCATTTTCAGAGTTTATTTGGGTCAATGTTGGACTTTTTTGCCTAGTGAGACATAGGGATTGCTTTTCCGGCGACAGTGACGGGGTCAACAATTGTTATGTTTTCTGCTTAAGTTAGTTTAATAGGAACAATTTGTGATAGATCATTGGTATTTAATGTAAAGTTGAATTACTATCAGTACATATCAGTTTATCAACTATTTCGAGGCCCTGTCCCCTAGGTCATGGTCCAGTGACTTTGAATTAATTAGCAATTTTTAATGTTAAGTTTTCTGCTTTAGTCAGTTTGATAAGAACTACTTGTAATAGATCAAT